TTCAGGCCAGGGCTTCTTTAAACCTAATTACAACAGCAACCTTCTGTGAGCCATGCTTGAAGATGTTTATGACTTTACTGTGATCCACTGGGCTGTCCCTCTTTATGGCTATGAGGAGAAGGTCTGCGAGTCTCTCCTCTGAGCAAAGGCTTCGGAGTTGGTTCTTAATTAACCTCATTTTGGAAAAGGATCTCTCCACAGTTGCAGTTGATGGCAAAAACCTGATACTGTGGAGGACCAATGTTGGTCTGTTGAAGGTCTTTTATTCACTACACTTCCCATAAAATAAGCCAGCAATGAAGAAAATTATAAAATAGTGTGAAAAGTACAGTTGCAGTGAAAAGCATTTCTGAAGGATCATGTGACACTGCAGAGTACTGAACTAAAGATGCTGAAAATTCAGCTTTGACCACATAAATAAATTACATTTTAAAATATATTCAAATAGAAAACAGTTATTTTAAATTGTAAAAATATCTCACAATATTACTGTTTTTGCTTATTTTGGATCAAATACATTAAGCCTTCGAATGAATTAAATCATGAATTAGATTCTGCATGATAAAATATAAAGATTTCACATTGATCTTCTGTAATGTTTTTTTATATATATTTTTTAGTTACTACTACAACATTACTGTAGTAAAACCATGTTTTACTACATTTATGCATGTGAGGACGACCGGAGAGTATAGAATACTGTAGATTCAAAAATTAGATAGCGAATACGTGCATATTAACAGACTTGAATTAACCATAATTTAATATTATTACCATAACATTAAATGTTAAATGATTAAATGTTAATAAATTAAGTGTATCAGCAATCATAAATCAAAGAACACATTTCTTAGAAATTTATGTTACCTAGGTGACGAGGATCACTCGTTGCTTTGTGTAGTTCCAGTACGAACAGCGCGGGGGCGCACCTGTGATTATGATTCTCCGATGGAAACGGCGCCGGCGGCATCATTACATTTTCATCAACAGCTTACCAACTAGATTGTTATAGCTATATAGGCGCTCAGTTTTTCCTGTTGTAAAATACATTTGGTCAAAATCGCATTTTATAAAAAATGAAATGCTACTGTATGCACAGGCTATTTAAGTGTAGGTATTGGCTTTGCCTATGACTATGGCAAATGCTAGCATAGCCCTCTCTCTCTGGTCCCACATATCTTAGTCAGACATCAAATAAATAAAATATGCGCTTTTATAGACAACGTGTTTAGTACTTATTTAAACAACAATATCTTTGTTTACCCTTGCAAAACTTCGTTCAGCTGCTGTCTGCTCTGCGGCTGCCTGGGAGCTTCAGTTCATTCAGTCACGATAGAGGGGGCGGAGTTATCAGCTTTACTGACAGTTTAAGATCGAACAAGATTTACACAAGCTCTTTTTAAGATCTTTCATTGGCTAAATATTTTTTAAAACAGACAGATAGACTTAAAGGGTGACCAATAGCATTCATTTATAAAAAAAAAAAAAAAAACACCACCACCAAAAAAAGGGCACTTCGGCAAAAAGGGCATGTGCTCTGCACAGGTTGAGCCCTACCTGTGCACGTGCCTGAGGTCATCAGTCTTTCTTCAATGAAATGTACAGATATAAGCACGTGTTCTTTGCTTTATGTTGCTATTCCTCTCTAGATTTTTGTAAGAAGGCTGTAAATGCTTCTTACGCGGCGGCGCGTATCTGCTCTCATGTCAGTATGGTGGTTTATAATGGCTGATGGTTGAATTACAGTAGGATACAGAAGGCTGTTCCAGAATCAACTTTAACTTCCTCTTCCTATAGCTCTATAAACATTTTAGATGGTGGGCAATAACCGTCCCCATAAATGCTCCTTTCAACTGCTGTGGTACTTACATCAGCCCTATACTGATTTAAAGGCCATTACAGCTCACATTCTTACCAAGGGATAAATTCCCAACAGTACCTATTCATTTTCTGGCAGTGGAAGGTTGGGCAGGGTGAGTTCTGGAGAAGTTGATAAATAAATAGACCTATGCTATTTGAATGTAATCATGCACTGCAGATGCATGCATAAACAACTGAATTCTACACAATATGACTCAAGATATTATATTATTAAGTTAATATTATTATTAATATATAAATATTATTAAGAAGTATTTGTTTTAGATGTGTAACAGAATGCGAGGAGAAGAACTGAAATTTCAAAAAGTGCTGAGATACAGAGGAACTCTGATCCTGTTTTTATAACTGTTAGATATTACTGCCTCCTAACGGTCGGATGTATGTCTACGGATACTGGTTTGTCAGCTCTAAGAAATCTATCTACAAAGCTTTGGTTGATGAATGAAAATAAAAAAAATTTATCAAATAAACGAATGTTGTTAAAACATTTGATTATCATTGCAGTTATTGGTACTCTAGGAATATGGCCATATATATATATATATATATATATATATATATATATTTAGCTATTAATATGCCTATAACTTTTGAACTAACTTGTTTATCACATTGAATTGAATAGGATGATTTTGTACCATATTGGTTGATATAAAAATACAAAGAGATTAAAATATATTCCATTATTTCTTATCAACAATATGAAGTGCATTAGGCATTATATTATGTCAGTTTCCGAAACTGTGGTTCATGAAGGAAAACCTCATCTTAAAGGGGTCCTTGATTATGATTTCACTTTTCTAACTTTAGTTATTGTGTAATGTTGCTGTTTGAGCATATTAACATCTGCAAAGTTACAACGCTCAAAGTTTAAAGCAAATGAAGATATTGTTTAAGGACTACAACAAACGGCTGGTATAGGGACTACACCACATTCCTCCCGGGTTAGTAACATCACTAACCCTAAAATTTACATAAACCCTGCCCCCGGGAACACACAGTCCATGTTGAGAAGAGGAAGAGTTGCTTTAAAGGCACACTATGCAGGAATTCCGTTTTTGTCAAACAGCGACCCCTAGAGTCGCTGTGGAGTACTTGTATTTAACGTTACTGTCGTAAATACCACTCACGCAGAGCGTCTCTGCACTCACGGCCTGATACCCCTTTGAAGCTGTTATATTAAGGTACAAATCTTGCATAGTGTGCCTTTCAATAAGATATCTAGGGGGTGTTTATGGGTAGGCCTACTATGATATTAGACTACATAGCCTATAATCAAAGATAATGAATTTCAAACCTGAACCAAACATTTTTTTTCAAAGATCAACAGTCTGTCTTTAGTCTGCCACTAAAAAACGGCGTGTTGTGGTTCCGGTACACCAGCCATGTCAACGAAACGAATGAATGAAAATTTGCTTATCAATGTATATCTAAATTCACGCCTAGATCTTTGTAGAACTTCAAAAAAAAAGAAACAGAAAAGATGCTGCAGCCAAAGAGCCGCCGGCGGGGGCCGACTCAATCTCCACGGACAGTTTTTAATATTTTATCAGACAATAACTACCCAAGATTTTGCTTTAGTATAATTTTCGGGACAATTAGGGCCGGACTCGGGACAACAGCTTAGATTTCGGGACTGTTCCTCACACGGTCAGATTATCTTTTCCTTTTCCTAGTCTCTTCCGACCGCGTTTTCTTTGCTTTTTCCATCATCGAGTATCACGTCTGAAATGCGTGCAAGTGTCTTCATGCTTCATATGTTGTTGTTGATGTGTGTGTTGTCGTTGCCGTAAAGCATGTCGTGATTCTTGCGAGATTTGTCGGGGGCGCTCCTCTCAAAGTTGCATTGCTGGTTTTTCAAGCGGCGTCCCCCCCAAGCTTTACTACCAGGATGATTCGCCCTACTATGAGTTTGTTTACCACCAAAATGACTTTGAAGCTGTTATATTAAGGTACAATTCTTGCATAGTGTGCCTTTAAGCTGTCGCAGCCGTCTTTTCACATGCAATACAGTACGTAACAAATGCAATACCATGTCACTCTGTAGGCAGGCCCGGATTGGCAAATCGGGAGCACCGGGAGAATTCCCGGTGGGCCGGTCTGTTTTATTGGTCAGGAGGGCCGGTGTTGTCATGGCACTGGGTTGAATGATTTTTTGAAGCATCGAAAATACATTTTGGTCCAAAAATCACAAAAACTACGACTTTATTCAGCATTGTAGTCTTCCGGTTCTGTTGTCAAGCCGCGTTCAGTGATGCTGATGACGTAAGACGCTGCTGACGTGTTATCTGTGCGCCCGAGCTTCATTTACAGTCTGAGGGAGACGCACGCTGTAAACAAAACAATCTTCGCAAACATGTCTAAGGATTTCGACACAGAGGAAGACTTGCATTTTTTTGCCCAGCCATATTTATTTGAACCTGAATACACAGACGCACCAGATACACGTCAGCAGCGTCTTACGTCACCAGCGTCACCGCGGACTCGTGAACACGGATTGACAACAGAACCGGAAGAGAATACAATGCTGAATAAAGTCGTAGTTTTTGTTATTTTTGGACCAAAATGTATTTTCGATGCTTCAAAAAATTCTAACTAACCCACTGATGTCACATGGACTACTTTGATGATGTCTTTATTTCCTTTCTGGACAAGGACAACATACATTTTCAATGGAGGGACAGAAAGCTCTCGGACTAAATCTAAAATATCTTAAACGGTGTTCCGAAGATGAACGGACGTCTTACGGGCTTGGAATGACATGAGGGTGAGTGATTAATGACATAATTTTCATTTTTGGGTGAACTAACCCTTTAAATGGGAAAAAATATGCTCAAATTAAGTAGCAGGGGCTAGCTGAAACCAAACGAAGATTTGTTCATTTTTGCCCTCGAGTGATTTAAAAGACAAAGAACACAATATACATATTGCTGCATGGTGATTAATAAAACTTACAGGTTTTGTATACAATTTTTTTTTTTAAATCCCACGCATTTTTCACCTTTTTTCAGTCTATGCTTTTCACACGCAGTCTTTCAGTATAGGGTGGAACCTTTGTTCATTTTTTTGTTTCATCCGGATTGTTTCTGATGTAGCACGCGCAAGTACACAAGGTACACAAGTACGACACGTTTATCATTAATGAATTGTTTTTCCCTCTGTACATAGTAGTTGACATAGACATATTCTTGAATTAATATAATAGCATTTCGAAATGGGCTTTTGAATGAGTTTTGGATTAGTTTTTTTTTTTCGGGAAGCAGTGAAAGATTTGTTATAAATATTTTTCAGCCTAGTGAATGTAAGATGCTATCGGGTTTGCAGTAAGATGTGAGTTTTTACTGCTGTGTATAATTAGAAGTTCTTGGAACTTTTCAAAAGGCAGCACGTGCATGGCATATGTCTATTTGTAAAATCATTTAAATGCGGATAATATTTGTGAATGACTATGTAAACACGTGGATGGACATGGACCATAATATGCAATTTAGTACATCTTAGTGGAAAGATTTAAACTTCAGAAAACATCAAGCAAGCCTTATTCAACTCAAAGTACCAATGAATGTATATGACACACATTATAATACATGAAGCAGATGGCAGTGCATACTAAAACTGACATCAGCAACCAATAATTGTCACACTGAGTGAAGTGATCTAACACAATGCTGAGGATAAAGACACAGCCTCTACTGCAGACACACAGATCATGTTGGCCTTTGGTCCTTCAGAGAGGTCATCGGCAGGCCTCCATTAAACATGTGTGTCTGCTCTCTGAGAGGAGGCGTCAGGGTCTTCTGTACCCATTCAGTGGTCTGGTGGAGCACCTGCCCTCACAGGTCAATCAGGCAGAATTCAACATCTTCCATCCCAGCTTGGTGGAGCTCCGTCAGGCAGAGACACTGTTCACTCCCTCCTCTAAACATGTTATCAACTACTCAACCTCTGCGGTCCGGATGGACCATGTACCTATTCTTAAACAGCCAGAGGTGAGAGAAAATTTTCATTAATTGTCATCACTTGATTAAATGACAAAGTACTTGAATTAAAAAAAAAAAAGGTTAGTTAAGTGCCAAAAAAAAAAAAGTGATTGTTTGTTTGCAGATGACACTTTTACATAATTAATTTAATTTTAATAATCCAATGCAATGAAATTCAGACTTTTGTTTTTAGAAGTGGCTATATAATATAATAACAGAACTATAATATACTTATTTTATATACAAAACCACAATTTATTTTGTGATTCCAAAAGTTTCAAGAACTCTGTTCTTCAATAAAAATAATAATTATAGAAGGTAAAAAAAAGAAATGATTTCTCTTTCATCTGCATTGAATGTTTTTCTTCCATTTTAATTAAGTTAGATTTTTGTAATATAATAATATTATATTATATTTGTAATAACAATTGTAATCATTTTAAGTCATCCTGCAGCCCCTTGCAAGTTTATTGAAGCCCTCTGTTTGCACTAGACATTTAAAACTGTGCATCATGTTTGCTCTGTGTGCTTGTGTGTATTACAGGTGTGTTTTATGGGCAGGAGTAATGTGGGGAAGTCGTCTCTCATCCGTGCCTTGTTCTCTCTTGCACCAGAGGTAGATGTGCGAGTCTCTAAAACTCCAGTGAGTGTATATGTTATGAATGTTCTCCACCGTTCACTCCTTTGTGCTTCGAAGTTGCTTCTTCTCAATCTTTATTTTGACACAGGGTCACACCAAAAAGCTTAATTTCTTCACTGTGGGAAAGGCGTTTACGCTTGTAGACATGCCCGGGTATGGACACATGGCCCCTCGGGACTTTGTAGAGATGGTTGAACCATACCTTCAAGAGCGTCAAAAGTAGGTTGATGTTGTTTTAAGGATACTCCTTCTTGTGTGCTTGTGTTGAGTTTAAAAAGTAGTAGATGATAAAATTCATGTCAGTTATGACATATATACTGTATATGTGTATGTATGTGTGTGTGTATATATATATATACATACACAAGAATATAAAGATGCTTTCAAAATAAAGATAGATAGAAATAAATACTGTAGATTTTATTTATCAATTAACTTCCATTAACTAAATCAAATCAATATTTGGTGTGACCACCCTTTGCCTTTAAAACAGCTTTTATCCTAGGTACACCTGCACATAGTTTTTCAGGTAGCTTTGCAGGGAGGTTTCTTCAAGTGTCTTGGAGACGTTGCCACAGTTCTTCTGGATTTAGTCTGTCTCCGTTTTTTTCTGTTTCTTCATGTAATCCCAGACGGACTCGATGATGAGATCAGATCTCCTTGTGGAGTATACCAGCTGTTGTCAGACTCCTTATGCATACAAAAATATCACTGGATTATTACAATTAGTGTCAAAGGGAACACACTACAGCAAAATATGTAAATAACTAGCTTAAAACAATATATGTAATTCTTAGTTATCCTTTTTTTAATCTCCTTACTTATGTGTCTCTATCTAGTCTGGTGAGGACATTCTTGCTGGTGGATGGAGGTGCAGGTCTGCAGAAGGCAGATTTAGTTGCTGTGGAGATGTGTGAGGAGTTCAATTTGCCTTTTGTGGTGAGTGTTTATCTCTCATGCTTTTACCATGACAGTCCAGCAGGGGTCGTTAGAGTACTATACACTTTTAGCAACATCAGCCTAGATCAGTGGTTCTCCACCAGGGCCTCAGCAAACTTCCAAGGGGGCATCAAGATAACATTAAAAGAAACTAAAATGACCAATTTTTTTTTTTCTTTTCTAAAGAACCCAGGTTAACACTGTGTAGAAAACCCTGTATATATGAGGTAACCTAATTTTTAAAGTGTGATTTCTAGACCTGGAAAAGTCATGAAATTTAATAAAATTTATAACTCAATTGGAATTTTTACACATTTTATGTATATGAATTTTCTATTCTATTCTATTAATGCCAAGCACTAATATTTTTATCAGGTTGAAATTGAATAAAAAATTGTATTAGAAAAAGTATAATCCTTAATTCTTATCCAGAAAATCACTCATTCTTATCCATGAAAATGGGGTGCCATGGAGTCAGAAAGGTTGAGAATGACTGATCTACATTGATCAACTTATTCTAAGGCTTTGTTCAGATGGGCCGCAGTTCCCCCTCTTTTTTTGTAGTAAATAACAGCAAAAATGCTTTAAATAATTTACACAAGCTCGATCCAAACCACATAATTGATTTGATATCCATGCTGAGTGTCAGTCCTAAAGATTGGGTTAAAAATACTAATAAGAATTGATTTTAGTCGGAACAAGTACAAAATACTTTTTCAACTCAAAGGTTTATAAGGTTTTAACCAGTTTTCTCTCTTTGTCATGTTTTAGCTGGTTGTAACAAAAATAGACAGAACTCGACAGGGCGCTTTGTTGGCTCTTCTTCTACAGCTTCGGGACTTTATCAAAAATCAAACCAGCACATGTTTCCCTCAACCATTTCTTGTGAGGTGAGATATATAGACACACATCATAATAATGCCAATCATTTTGCATCCAGAATGGTTTACACGTACAAACAGGGTTCAACAATGAGCATTTTTTTCCTGCTTGAATTATATAGATATCATTTAAATCTATAAATTCATAAACACTTTTGTTGGAAGACTCCAACAAGTCAGTTTTGACAAAACCTTGTTTATGTTCGCCAGCAAGATAACAATTTATAGGTGTCAAATAAGCAGATGTTGTGACAACAATGTAGAAAATATCAATAAAGGGAAATGGACTAGACTGAAAGGTCTCATATACTGACCAAAGTCCATCCTTATTGTTGAGCCCTGAAAGAATATATACAGTGGGCTCCACAAATATTAGCACCCTTGGTAAATATGAACAGAACTGATTTGGTCTTTCATTTTTAATTAAACTCAAATAGTTTGAAAAAATTATTATCATAATTATTTTTCTCTGAAATACAGTTTATGTATTCCACAATTATTGGCACCCCTTCATTTAATACCTAATGTAACCTCCCTTTGCCAAGATAATAGCTCTGGGTATTTTCCTATAATACATACTAAGATTGAAGAACATATGTCAAGAAATCTGACCATTCCTCCATACAGAATCTCTCCAGATCCTTCAGATTCAGAGGTCCATGCTTGTGGACTCTTTTTTCATCCCAAATATATATATATATATATATATATATATGATACACATTATTACTGTATTCTCAGGTATTTCCCATAGTGATGGATGACTGTAGGAATTTAGCCTGTGTGTCACAATAAAAAATATACTTTAGTTAGATTTTTACTCATTAACATTTGTAGGGGTGACAATAATTTTGGCACATATATTTTGAAGAAAAACATATTTAATTTATTACACTCATCATTTATATAAAAATCATCTGGTCCTTAGCAGGTCTAAAATGTATTGTTGTTCATCTGAGGTTATATTTACATGACATATTACACTGTGTCATTATTTATTTACCAAAAATCAAGCCAAACTGGAGAAGCCACGTGTGAAAAACTAAGTACACAAATAAAGAAGTGTGAAGTCCGCACACTGAAAATCACTGCTCCAAAAGAATTTATTAAAAGGCAACGTTTCGACCCTCAGGTCTTCATCAGGCACAATATCAATGTAGAGTGAAGTCAACTTTAAATAGACACAGGTCACATACAGATGCAACTTTGCAAACCTAAGCCATGCTGCCATGTTCTTTTTAGAGAGTAGAGACTTTCTCCTGGCAACCCTTCCAAACATGCCATACATGCCATCCAGTCTTTTTTCTAATTGTACTGTCATAAACTTTAACATTTAACATGTTAACTGAGGCCTGTAGAGTCTGAGCTGTAGTTCCTGGGTTTTTTGCCATTTCGGTCTGACCCTTGGGGTGAAATTGACGGGACGTCCACTCTTGGGAAGATTGGCAACCGTCTTGAATGTTTTCCACTTGTGAATAAACTTCCTCACTGTAGAATGATAAACTTCAAATTGTTTGAAAATGGCATTATAACCCTTCCCAGATTCCATTATAACCATTCCCTAATGTATTTTCTCCTTGGCATTGTGTTAACACACACCTGAATGCTTCAGACCAGCAAACTGTCAAAACTTCTGCTTTTATCTTTATATTCACCCTTGCTGATAAACAGTTAATCAAAGGCATTTGATTAGAAGTGTCTGACTGCTACTTACCCTCTTAAATCCTATGGAAGCAGTAAGGGTGTGCTTAGTTTTTCACACATAGCTTCTCCATTTTGGCCTCTTTTTTTTAATAAATAAGGACATGGTGTAATGTGTCATGTGTTGTTGTTCATCTGGGTTGTATTTACCTAATTTTAAGACCTGCCAAGGACCAGGTGATTCTTATTATTTCCTGATACGTAAAACCATAGAATTCAAAGAGGGTGTACTTTCTTTTTCACATGACTGCACACAATACCATCAGTTTGGGGTACTTTATTTTAAATTAATACTTTTATTCAGCTGGGGCATATAAAATTTGTCAAAATGACAGACTTTACAATGATACAAAAAAATAATCTTTTCAACACAATAAGGAGGAATTTCACATGAGCACCAAATCAGCATATTACACTGATTTCTGAAGGATCTTGTGACACTGAAGACTGGAGTAATGGCTGTTGAGAATTCAACTTTGACATCAAAGGAATAAATTATATTATAGAAAAAGTTTTTCAAGGGTAATATTTCACTGTATTACTATTATACTTCTTTCAAAATCTTTCCAACCCCAAACATTTGAATGGTAGTATATGTGTGTGAGTGTGTGATAATCTGCATTTATCGCCCACATCAAGGTTATTTCCTAATCCATCAGCATGTGTCATCCTGCCGATGCGTGTTTGAGCAGTGCTGAATTTATAATACGCACTCAGTCTTAGTCACATTTTTGGTTTTATGTCAGTGTGCATCTGTCAGAGGTTCCCCATATATCTTGTTATACAAATAAATCAGTGCCTCTGACCTGTAGTTTTATAAGAGTGAGGAACGCTCACTGTTAGATGAAATCTGTTAATGTGGTCAGATGGTTATCAACCTGATGATAAGATAAGGCTTGGGGTTCTGGAAACAGTTGCATTGGCTTTGTTGTGTCAATACAGGAAGTCAGTTTTTCACAGATAAAGGTGATAAGTAACATACATTATAACATGTATACATTTCTATCCCCCCCTCCTATGACCTGCAGTTCAGTCCAGTACTCTGGGATTTACCTGCTCAGGTGTTTCATAGCCCACGTAACAGGAAATCTACATCTTACCACTAAACAGTTGTGATTGTACTGCACTGCCTCACCATGTCACACATCACAGATGAATCTGAGGCCTGGCTGCAATGTTATCTGGGATGGTGTAAACCGTGAATAAAACCAATTTGACAATGATTAATGAATGATTAAATACTTGCTGAATCTATGTATTATTTCCAAATGCAGAGGCAGGAATCACATTGTTACTGGTTTCAGGATTCATACAGCTCTGTAATTTTACAACATGCATATTTGAGTGGACTCGTTCCTGTCTGTTGCTGTATATTCAACTAGAATATTTGTTCTTCCAAATAAAATGACAGTAAATGTTGCATTGAATCTGTTAAACTTTAAATTCTGCTCTTGCTTTCTGAGCTTAAACCAAAACTTATCAATATGATGAAAAGATCAAGTTCCAGATCAGTTGTTCCTCTAAAACTGTGGGCTTTTTATATAATGAATTAATCACTGAACCTAAATCCCAGCAAATGGTATAAACCCAGTGAATGGATGACAAATGGACTTCTTACTCATGAAATTGATCTTCCAGGTTTATTGTAACCATTATGTGTTTTGGTCCTTGTTACACACTTTTTAGACATACGTCTACATCAGTCCTAGGGCTGTAACGATATGCGATATGAAACCGAAATAGCGACACTCAGATCCACGAACCTGTGTCGATAGAAGATTTACCTGTAGGTTTTTCAAATGTTATTTAATGAAAATTTCTTTCTTTTTTCAAAATCTCTCTCTTTTTTTTCTCCCCCCCTCCCTCCAAAAAAAAGAATTGCGGTTTGTATGGAATCGTGGGTCAAAAATCGTCATACGAACCGAATCGTCGGTTTGGTGTATCCGGATAGATTTGAAAACGGAGTTTTCGTTTCAAAACGCTCTCCGTGCACACTAGCGTTTTCCAAAAGTTTCTCATCCACGAAACGTTTGGAAAACACTAAATTCACCTTACTAGAATAATGAAAATATTAGAATACTAGAATACTAGAAAATTCACCTTACTACGCAATTCATGCATAAACCCTCACTGAGATGACAGATCAAGACAAAATCAAGTTATCACGCAATTCTTCTGGCAGGGTAATTTGATTTCGCAAAATATCTCACCATTAACTGATGCGTCCGGGTAGCACTCACTTATATGTTTGGTCTAAAACGTTTTGCCGCAGGACAGCAAATACGAGTGAATTTTCTGTCATCTTTGCAGGACTGTGATATGAAGAGTGTGCAATGTAACTTAGCAACTGTGTGAAAGTGAATAGCACCTAACAGGCACAATACCGGTATACACATGAATATGTGTTCAATATGCGTCACATGACTAAACTTACGTCATCGTTTTTAAATACCTCCGTTTTCACCCAAGGGGGTAATCCATCGACCGGAAGTTGAAGCCGGCCGGGTGCCGCCATGTTGTAGCAGAACTTCACTTGCGTTAGCATTTCCATTGACTCCCATTCATTTTGGCGTCACTTTGACAGCGAATAACTTTACATCTGAGGCGTTTAAAGACTCCATTTGTCCATTGTTTATTTCTAAAGAAACACAACTATGTATAAAGGTCTCCATTACCTTCTATGTTACATTGTGTAGAAACAGATTTAGTAAAAATAGGCTAACGATTGCGTCATAACCACTCGACTCTCTGTCGCGCTGTACAGAAATTACCGTACAGACAGGAGGAGAAGCTCGCAGGCAATCGGGGGGACGTCCCGTCAAGGGAGAAGCCCATAGATAATGAGTCCATAAAAGCAACGGAATACTTACTCCTGCTCACTCACGCCAAAGAACTCTTTGCTCAAGTTCCCCGTCTCTGCAAGATTAACGTTGGCCATTTTCACGTACAGCTACTAGAAGAGTAACGTCTGTCAGACAGGTTGCTCACGTCATCAAGCTTAGTTTGAGTCGGTTTGAGTCTGCGCGTCAGGAACGGAAGTGCTCAAAAATCGCTAAAAATGGGCTTCAACTGTCTCAACTGAGTTCCAATGAGATGGCTCTGTCCACTTCTTATACTGTCTATGGTTTTCACAGTCCACACTACAATGCGAAAACTGCGTTTTCAAATGTATTCACCTTGGAGAGCATTTTCAAAAAGCTTTGTTTTTGTTGCTAAATACGCCATCTCAGTGTGGACGGAAGGCCAAAACGGAGAGAAAAAGATGTGTTTTCAAACGAAAGCGTATTATCATGGACAAGACCTTAATTTTGGTAACTACCGTAAGTCAGGATTTGAGATTTCAACTCAGGGTTAACATTCTTATTTGTATATTACAAAGTTATCGTCTTTGATTGGACAAGTACAGCATTTGACATGCGTGCTACTTGTTGTAATTGCGTAGACACTTAAATCCATTAAATCTGCCAAATATCCTAAACAATATTCAGGAGTTATTTCATAGTACTTTTTTTAAACTTGTAGATTTAAAAATGTTACTCTGAAAACCCTCATTGTGATCATAAGTCATGGTGATATCAAGTCAAGTCAAGTCAAGTCACATTTATTTATATAGCGCTTTTCACAATACAGATTGCATCAAAGCAGCTTCACAGTGATAACATGAAAGTAGTACAACACAGTTCAATAATATTGTTGAATATTAAATATCCCCAACTAAGCAAGCCAAAAGCAAGGCGACAGTGGCAAGGAACCAAAACTCCATCAGATTGGATGGAGAAAAAAACCTTGGGAGAACCCAGGCTAGTCAGGGGCCAGTTCTCCTCTGGCTAACAATCATAGGGTTTTAAAGAAGCTTTACAGTAAGTGCATATCAGAGAGTACCTGGAAAAAATACATTTAGTTAATCATGTAATATTTAGGGGATAACATATCGCCGGCGTTGAGTCGTCTCTTCGCAGGCGTTGAGTCGTCTCTTCACAGGCGTTGAGGCATCCGAAATCCCCGTGAGAGGCAGGATACCAAACTGGAGCCTACGAACGCCATTTTTCTCGGGACAAGCGTCCCGAGATAACAGCAGAAGGCAGATGGGAAATAATTAGCATAGCCGATGTTCATAATGATTTCCATTACACGGGAGTAGGTGTTAGAAAACCATAATCTCACAACTCTCCGCAACCCAAACTCTCCGCAACCCAACCGCAACCATACGGACCGACCCGTTTGTCTATAAGGCTGTCGAGCCCCACTGGTGCGTTAAGCAGTTTCAGTGGCAAACGGTTCCGTATGGCATAGCAGAGGACTAAAAGGTAAGCATTATGTGAATGCTTGACTAAAGAGACACGTCTTTAGTCTAGTTTTAAACTGTGTCAGCGAGTCAGAGCATCGGACCGTATCGGGAAGGCTATTCCAGAGTTTTGGAGCTAAATGCGAGAATGCCCTCCCTCCTTTCGTGGACTTCGATATCCTAGGAATGACCAGAAGCCTTGAATTTAGTGATCTTAGAGAACGCGGTGGATTGTAGGGCGAAAGAAGGTCCGTTAAGTACATAGGAGCTAAACCATTAAGGGCTTTATAGGTCAGTAGTAGTACTTTGTAATTGATACGGAACTTAATAGGTAACCAGTGCAGAGATGATAAAATCGGTGTTATATGATCATATTTTCTTGATCTAGTAAGAACTCTAGCGGCTGCATTTTGCACTAACTGTAGCTTGTTTATTGAGGATGCAGGACAACCAGCTAATAAAGCATTACAGTAATCTAGTCTCGAGGTCATGAATGCATGAACTAACTTTTCTGCATCAGAAACAGATAGCATGTTACGTAATTTAGCAATGTTTCTAAGGTGGAAAAATGCTGTTCTTGTAACAGATGAAATATGATTTTCGAAAGACAAGTTGCGGTCTAGTATAACACCCAGGTCTTTTACTGTAGTGGAAAAAGTAACAGGGCATCCTTCTATATTAAAGTCGTATTGTAAGAGGTTTTGTGTGTAGTTTTTTGGACCAATAAGTAATACCTCCGTTTTATCTGAATTTAATAGCAGGAAATTACGCGTCATCCAGCATTTTATATCTTTGAGACATTCTGTCAATTTAGATGAGGTAATGTTTTCATCTGGTCGTGATGAAATATATAATTGAGTGTCGTCAGCATAACAGTGGAAATTAATTCCATGTTTTCTTATAATATTACCAAGTGGCAGCATATATATTGAGAATAGCAGAGGGCCTAGCACCGATCCTTGCGGCACTCCGTAGTCTACTGACGTTAACTTTGATTTTCCCCCGTGTAAAGAGACAAAATGATAACGTTCAGATAAGTACGATCTAAACCAGCTTAATGCCTGTCCCTGAACACCAGTGTAGTTTTGTAGTCACTATGAGACTGATACTATGATATCAGTCTCATAGTGTAATGAATGCTTATTGTAAACAAAAGCCATTCTAACCCTGGAACAGGGCTTCATAACCCAGAGTTAAAAGCTACACTAAACTTTTTAAAATTATGGGGAAATTATGCTTAACAATTGAAAGGGACCTTGAACAGAGAGTAAAAAGCATTAAACAAGCTAATTGTTATGTTTTTATTTTTTTACATACCCTGAGAGAACAGTATGCACCAATTCCATCAATGAACTTTGCACTGAAGTGTCATTACAGAAGGCATAGGGTTAAAGCAGTTATATAAACACCTCAAACGTTTTAACATTTTAAATTTTAACTGTGTGCCCAAAGGTATGTGTGTGCATTTTGTATTGAAAGGAGAGTGAGTAAGGTACCATACATTTCTTTAGTCATATCTCTAATGGGTCCTTTAAAAATAATTATACAGGCATTATTTCATCCATGATCTTTGATGCACGTACAACATTGTTTCAGGCATTATGTCTTCTCTACAACAGCAGGGGTGGTGATGGTACAGGGCTGTACCTGGAGAAAAACAATAAAATTTAAGTGCCACAATGTTATAAAATGGCAAGAGGGTGCAATTGCATTTATTGTGCGTAAACTTAACCTCGACAATGACATTCTTTTTTTCGCCCTCTCTCTTTTTTTATGTGTTGGCATTTGGACACTGACCCCATAAAACATTTGCAGTAAGTTAATTATTTTTCAAAAAAAAAAATTTCCTCTGAATTTGATATACCCCGGGCAACTATTAAAGCTCTAAGGGACAGGTAAAAGTTCACTCTTTGTCACCCGGGATGCAGGAAAGGGAACTGAGGCTGAAAAGGTGTTTAAGAAAATGTGTAGAAACACTCTGGAATCTTAGCTCACTTGCTCCAAGAAGCTTCATCCCCGCAACCTCTCCATTGGAATCTATACGCCATTGACCCTATAGGATTCTACTTTTAATTCTTCACCACTTCATTCAAACTCATTTTTGTCAACATGTGCACACCAGAGCCCACCTGCCCTGAAAATGCCACCATCTGCTCGGGCACATCCTGCCTAGTGCCGCGAGATCCGTTCAATGACATTCTCAACGTGGTGATGAGTACCACGCTTACCGTCATGCTTGCCTTGGTCATGTTTTCAATGGGCTGCACCGTCGAGGCAAGAAAGCTCTGGGTACACATCCGCCGGCCATGGGGCATTTTTATCGGTTTCCTGTGCCAGTTTGGCATCATGCCTTTCACTGCCTTTGCGCTTGCACTAATTTTCAACGTGCTTCCAGTCCAGGCTGTAGTTATCATAGTTATGGGCTGTTGCCCTGGAGGTTCCAGCTCCAATGTTTTCTGCTACTGGCTTGACGGAGACATGGACCTGAGGTGAGACTGTAAATCCTTTGACTTTTTCGTTATCATTATTGTTATGTTGCTTGTAACAGTGAAGACGTTCTAGTTCCAAGAAATTAGCTGTGTAAACAGGCTCTGTTGATTTTTTATTTTTTTATTTCTATGCAGCAGTGTCATTTGTAGGTTGGTTTTCATTTCATTGTTCAGATAAAATGTCTATTAGGCTAAACTAGATAATTTGATATTTTTCCCTTTTACTAAATTATATTTATAGATAAAATTATAGTTTCTAAAATGACTTAAAATTGTAGAATGGTAGTATTTTATTCAATTTATTTGATCATTTATTTTAGTATAATGATATAATAAGCATATAGTAATTATAGAATATTATATTATAGAACATGATTAAATATATTATAGAAAATGTCTAATTCTTATTGTTCCTGATTTCCTTCACATATCTAGACCTAAAATGTTTAAACTGCACGAGGAACAATATATTGTAATTCAATGATGCATGTTTATTAAGTTTGTGGACAGAAAGACATTATTTATGTCTAACAAATACACTCATTTCTGCTGCCTATAGCATCAGCATGACGGCATGTTCCTCAATCCTGGCTCTGGGAATGATGCCTCTTTGTCTGTTCATCTACACCACAGTCTGGACTTCAGGCGATGCTATCCAGATCCCTTACGACAGCATCGGTAAAACGGCCTCAAATAACTTGAACAAGATTTTTCAATTTATTTAATCTCGTATCTTAATTGGACTGATGATCTTTCCAGGGATCACGTTAGTGAGTTTGCTTGTGCCTGTCGCCCTTGGGATATACACAAAACATAGATGGCCTAACGCAGCCAAAAAGATCCTCAAGGTGTGTTTTTGTTTCTGCATTTAATGTTGTAAATTCTTATGTATGCCATACTGCTTCACTTGTGTTATGTATTTGTATGTATAGGTGGGATCCGTGGTGGGAATCCTCCTAATCATCATCATTGCCGTCATCGGTGGTGTGCTCTATCAGTCCTCATGGACCATTTCTCCTTCGCTTTGGATCATCGGTACCATTTATCCATTTATCGGCTTTGGGTTGGGCTTTCTCCTCGCACGCTTTGTGGGACAACCTTGGCACAGGTAAAAAATCTGTACATTTTGTTTTCCCATAAAGCATTAGCTAGTTTGTTCGGAGCAGTTAGCACACGTTCTGAGGCATCAAAAAAAGTGCCATAAAGTTTGACGAAAAAAACACGTGCTGTTTGCTCTGATGGTTCATTTATCGTGAACGTGATTGCAGGTGCCGTACCATCGCATTAGAAACTGGCATGCAGAATGCCCAGCTGGCAAGTACCATTACCCAGCTGTCCTTCACCCCTGCAGAGCTTGAGGTCATGTTCGCTTTCCCCTTAATCTACAGTATCTTCCAACTGGTTGTGGCTGTGGTTGCAGTGGGACGTAAGATGAAACTCTTGTTCACTTTGCATTTAAGCATTAGGAATATGAGAGGGGACTGTGGGGATAAGCATGTTGTGATTTTGAAGAGTTGATAATTCCATATCATAAACCTTTGTATGTATTTTCAGTCCATTACTCAATCAAGCACTGTAGGCAGAAGATATCAGCGGACGAGGATGGGGAAGGCACCGTTGAGGATCAGAATAAGCAGAATTACGCCTTGGAGAATGGTGGCTTTCACTGTGATGAGAACGGCAACTCTGAGGATAAGGACAAAGGTACAAAGTTGTGAGCTAAACATCTTTCTGCTAGCCTGACTGGTCAACGATGATCTTCTGGAGACATGAACTGTAAACAAGCTATAAGCTCAATCAGAGAGTGAAGAGTTAAAGTCGACCCCAGTCAACACAACTGGATGCACTTTCCTACATTATATACATAGGCTATATATATAAACCTTCAAATATGTTTTTATGATGAGTCTGCCCATTTAGGTTTGTCTTTGGTCAGCAACATTCAGTTAATACATTGTAGAAATTCACTGACTCAAATGTCTTTAAAACAAATGCAAGTAACTCCACCGGTGTAAAAAAGAAGATAAATGTTTAATAGTTTAAGATAACATACAGTACATATATCCAGTAGGTTGAATGTAAGCTAATTTTTTACTTTGAGTGTTACTTTGTATACACATAATTGTAATAGACCTTTAAGAAATGGTTTGCTTTTTAGAATATTTATGTATGATACAGACTTTTTTTTTTTTTTTACCATGTTCGGGCAATGGGACTTTTCCACTTACAGTATATGGTAACCAAAGCATGGTCACCTTTATTTTTTCTTTTTTTCTTTAAATGACTTTCAACATTTAAACATTTACTGCTTAAAATATATCAAATGTTTTAGATGTTGTCATTTCAAATATATATATGCATATTATATGCAGAAGAAAACACCATAAATAAATTAATATTCAAATGTGTTTTCAGATTTTGATCTTAGCAGACTTCAAGTTTTTACTATTCTGTAAAATTTTACGATTACACTTAACCATAGCTTGATTATATTGGGTGTGTATTAAACCCCTGCATGAGGGTCATTGTTGTGAAATAGCCCTTAGTTGTTGTGAATTGCTCTGAAAATATTGCATCTGTCCCAATGCACTTTCTCAGAAATAGCAGGACATTTGACTAAATTCCTCAGCTGAATAATAATCAGTTTAGACTGAAGTCTTTCAGAAATTTTAACTTAAACTTAAAGGGATAGTTCACCCAAAATGAAAAAATGAAAAATCTGTTATCATTTTCTCCTTCATGTTGTTCCAAACCTGTATGACATTCTGGTTACACTGGTCCACTTTAGACATTCTAACTATAAGTAACTTTGCAACTACATGCCAACTAACTCTCATTAGAGTGTTAGGATAGAGTTAGCAGAATAAGTTGACATAGTTTCAAAGTTACTTATAGCCAGTCAGACGAATGTCTGTTGGGGGACCATCAGCAGATTTTAAGCAGACGGTCTGCTATAATGAGAGCTAGTTTATGAGAAGAAAAAAAGTCCTACAGATTTGGAAGGACATGAGGGTAAGTGATGACTGAATTTAAATTTTTTGGTGAAATGTCCCTTTAAGCCCTCATACATGTGTTAAAACCACAGAGAAATAATGCAACTGACTAAATTCAGCCACAGAAAAGGGAAGTTTATATCTTGTTCGAATGTTCTGACATGGTTGGTTAACTCCAGTGAAAAAGAGAGACAACGCCTAGAAGAGAAGAATCATAAGCTATAAAGATCATTGAGGAATTGAAGATGGAGCTTCTGTTCTCATTTCTACTACTATTTCTGAAGACGACTTGTGTTTCTTCTTGGCCTGCTGACAAATGTCTATTCTACAGTGATGTGGAAGAGTTTCCTATTGCCACAACCTGTGCTGGAAAAACAAACACAGGCGACTGCCATCGTGTCGCTGACGTTAAAGAAGACCTGCTTGGACTTCCATCAAACTTACGGAACCTATGTGTTCAAATGGATCAAGACTGGATCACGGTGCCTTGGCTCCTTGGCTCCAGACTCATTCGCACGTTTTGTTTCACTGGATTACCTTGAAATTACTGGATGTTTTTCAGAGATCCCTCCGGAAGCCTTTAACGGTTTGACAAATGTAACTTCATTAAGTTTATCTCACTCGGCTGTAGAAGGCTGTTGTGTGGTAGCTCTTGATTTCAGTCGCCTTCCCTCACTTAACAGTTTGCATCTTTCAAAGTATACATTATCATTATTGACACCAAATGTTTTTGAAACAATTCCTCACTTGCAAAAATTATACATATACGAAGCGTGTTTGAAGGATATATCTGAGGTTCTGTGTCGACTGGCAAATGTAAAATCACTGAAGCTGTTTCATCTAAATCAAGCATTAAACAGACTTCAGTACCCAAATTGCTCAGTTTTCAACACCTCTGACATATCTACTGTGTTAAATATTGAAGATGTTCGATTGTATCTGGGAACATTAGAGTATATAGATGAGGGAGCTTTGGAAGTTTTGGGAAATCTGTTTGAATGAATCTCTGATTTCCTCAGAGATCTTTCTTTAGTTGGAGTATATAAAATCAATACTTTGGGTGTCACAGTGGATGTACTTCACTTTGAAGACTTGTGTACAGCAGCAAAGTTATATTCGATTGAGTCTTTACACGTTCATTATGAGAGTATTGACTTGCTACTAACTCCTAATATCTCAGATGGCTGTGAAGATGTTAAGAACATTACAATCAGAAATAATATATTTACTGAGACTGTAAACCTCTTAGATGTATATTGGTTCTTCCAGATTTTTAGGAACCTCACTTCTGTTAAAATAATTAAGTCTGTGCTTAGACCAACTGATTTTCATTCTCTTTGTGCTACACTTCCACAGATAGTCAAACAGATTTCCCTTATGTTTCTAAGCACAAATAAGATACGATAGTTTCCAACCAATTTATGTGTTTTTCAGATCTTGAAACTCTAGATTTATCCATGAATAACATTTATAACATAAAAGATGTTGCTTTCATTGGATTGAACAATTTGAAAGAGCTAAATCTCTGTAGAAACAAGTTATCTTACATTTATCAACACACATTCAGTGGTTTATATGGACTAATGTTCCTAGATCTCCAAGGAAATCCTATAATTCATATCGAACCTGGATCATTTGGACATCTTATTAGCCTTAACACACTTCTGCTGGGAGATCTGAACTTCCCGCCAGGAATGTCACTGATCAAGCTGCATTTATCCGATATATTTGGGATAATTCCATATAATTTGAGTAATATTTTAATTAGTTCAGGCCTGAGACCAATGCAACTTGTGATCGGGAGTAATACTACACTGGATCAGGCCCTAAACTTCCACATCAAAGGTCAATATGTGACTGTTGAGGACTGCAACAGTTTACTCTTGACATCTGTAGTCACACTTCAGATAGATATGTGAGCTGTGGAAATGAATTCATTGGGCAATATGTCCAATCACTCGTCAGTCTGGAATTTAATTCAATGTTCTCAGACAATATTGGAGACTTGGCTGTAATTAATCAGCTTGTTCATTTAAAAACCTTAAAACTGGAAAACATTGAATTTACTAAGCAGCCAAACGTGGCCGTAATGTTTCACAATCTGACGAAACTCCGGACACTGATACTGACGAACTGCAGATACTTCTTTCTGGATGGAAGTCTGACTAAAGATTTAAAGGCACTGACAGCTCTAGTGCTCATTCCAAAAGATAATGTCAATATTCTTCAAAACTTGGTGGAACATCTCACTAGTTTGAAATACCTCCATGTTCTGGGCTTGGGTCTGTACTGCAGTTGTGATAATGCTTGGCTGGTCTCATGGGCGAAGGACAACAGGAAGGTGCAGGTTGCCATGTTCAAACCCACCATGAAAGAGCAGCTGCAGTGTTTGACTGACAATGGAATTGACCAACTCAACTTTATTGGTTTTGCTAAAGAGAACTGCTCATTTGAAATCGAATTTATGTTCTTTGCCTCCACCTCTGCCTTTTTGTGTATTTTTATTATTGTGGTGCTGTCATATAAGTTTGCAGGCCAATACATTGCGCCTTTCTATCACATCGCCAGTGGATGGTTCCGAGAGGCTTTGCGTGTGAATGGTAAACATCAGTACCGCTACGATGTTTTCGTGTCTTACAGTGGTAAGGATGAACACTGGGTCATGGAGGAACTTCTTCCGAACTTAGAGCGGCGCGGCCCTCCGTTTTTGCGTCTCTGTCTTCACAGTCGGGACTTTCAGTTGGGAGAAGACATTGTGGAAAACATCACGGACAGCATCTACTCAAGTCGCCAGACTCTTTGTCTCGTCAGTCGCAACTACCTCTGTAGCAACTGGTGTTCTTTGGAGATGCAGCTGGCCACCTACAGGCTCCAGGTAGAACACAGGGACATTCTGATCCCGGTCTTCCTAGAAATGATTCCGTCTCGCTTGCTATCCTCCCATCATAGATTGGCGCGGCTGGTAAAAACTAGAACCTATCTTGACTGGCCACAGGAACCGGAGATGTACGAGGCATTCTGGGATAGGTTATGGTGTAAACTCAGCTCTAATAAAGCCAACTAAAAAGAAAAGTTGCTAAAGTGAGAAAAAAACAACAACAAAAAAACAACGCCTGGCAAGTGGATGAGAAAAATTTATTTGAAATACACTTACATGTAATGACAATTTTGTATTTACTTTTTTATATGCTTAATAAACCTGGTGTAACATCAAACAGGATTCACTGTGCAAACATGACAAAATGTAGCTGTAGCGAGTGTTACTAATTCATCTTTTAAAAAAATAGCACACATACATAAACTGATGTTTGGATTAACTATTGAAATATCCTTTTCTGATATAAACCTCTATTCAGACTATTTCTGAATGTGCTGATCAGATGTGCTGCACTTAGGAGATATTTCGAGCCATGCGTTTGTGTACATTAGTTTCAGTTCATGTATTACAGTTTTTATCAATCGCTTTGGCTCAGTTCTCAAATGAGACTCTTTTTTTTTCTCTCAAAACAATAAGTTCAGGTTTCTGAACAATTCGTTTCTTGTTCACATCAGATTTGAATTTCGTATTGATTAAAGCAAATTGCATGTATTTTGGCACGTGTTCAAAAGATCAAGTACAACTGTCTACAATTTGCACAATAACTAAATGCAGACATGTTATATTCCATAAATATTTATGACATGGAATGTTTGTAATGTTTGCTAAATTGGCAAATTGTTTTTTTTAATAAAATAGGAATCACAATCTTATCAATCAATCAACCAAGTTTGAACAGCAGCAGTTACATCAGTGCTGTATAAATACATTGGTATTTTACAGTAAATGTTTTTTTTCTAGAAATGTGTTACATGTAAACTAAAAATTCTTGTCATTGAAAGAGCAATATGTAACTAATATGATAGTATGTATTGTGTGTGTTAGAGAAAGACATAATGGGGTTTGTTAAATTGAACAAGCAAGTGAGAATTTTCAGTTTACATGCAGCACATTTCTGCAAAAATAAATGTATTGTGTAAATACAAGTGTTTATTTTCTTTTTGTGTTCAACAGTGTTTACTTTACCAAGTCAATTTTACCTACTCTCTGAATCTGTATTTACACAGACAGAACTGACATTCTTGCACATTATATAAAACAATTAGTCAACAAAACTTAGAGGTGCAGAAGGCCACACAGCAACTTTTCGGCATTGCACCAAGCTAAAAATTAATCGAATCATTAAAGAGTAAAGATAAAGCGCTTAACAAGGTCTACGTGCGTTCATTCGAATAGCTTGTTTTCCACCACGGCATAAACGGATGTGACATTTTTGTTGGCGTTCCCAGCAATGCTGATATATAGAAATTATTTACATATATAAAATGTTTATTTAGTATTTATTTTTTACTGTTTTACATGTATTTCCTTTGGGTCTATTAAAGCTTCATGCATCCAATCATCAGATTATAAATAATTGACAAGATCAGATCACAAACTTTCTTACAGGTTTATTTTCTCACTTTGCTTCTCTGGATCTCCACATTCCATGCAAAATAATTCAAAAGAAAAGAACATTTGCCAAACATAATCTCTGTAGAAAATTTAAATTGTGCAGACAAAATGACAAAATCACATTCAGTATAGGAAGCAATTTCTTTAAAAAAATTCACAGTGATCAGAGGTTACTTTTTGTGCCTAGGTTTTTTAGACATAATAACATTGATGCATTCAACCTACATATAGTACAACTTAAAATCCAAAGAATTCAAAAATATCATCAATATCATTCTTCTGGATATTTGGTTTCGGCAAGACAGTCTGTGAGTCCATTTTTTCTTCCTTGGCTCCAGGTGCCATATTGTTTCTTGACACTTCTTTTTTTGGGAATTGTTGTGGTTGGCTGCAGTTCCTCACATGTTTCAATGACACAGACAAGTTTTTAACTGTTTTAGACCACATCCTGGTATATGCAGATCTAGATCTGATAGTTCTGTTGCGTGCCATGAAGGTTCTGAGGTGCCATCGAGTTCTCCAAAGTGCAGTGAAGGAACAGGAACGTTTTGGTGGGAGAGTCTTTGGAAGCATCAATGCCTTTTGAAATTCTAGCTTAAACTTCTTCAAACTCTTCTCCACCCTGAATAAAAAATTAAAAAAAAAAACATAATTAGACACACAAGCTAAGAATGACTCATAAATACATATTTCATTTAAAGTTTTTTTTATGTACCTGACACCTTCAGCTTCCAGACTTTCCATCCTCAGACACTTCAGGCGCAAGAAGGCCAGGTGCTTACGCTCTCGATGAAACTTACAGCTCCGGCACCAGTGCATCACTTCCTTCAGATGGGCAGCCATGTTTCTGAACGAGGACACCTTCTCCAATGACTCCAAGAACTTCCTCTTCTGACAGACTGCAATTTGGCTTGAGAAGTCCGATTTCATCTGTGGATCCAGAGACATCTTTGGGAATAATGCATCAATATTAACCTTTGAATATGTCAGCATATTATTGTTCTCAAAAATATACTTCAGTTTGATCTGTCATATGGCAACATACAAATCAAGATCAAATACCTGTTTGGTGGTTTTACAAGATTGTGGAAGCACAACCTTCATCTCCAGTCCATAGGGTGAGACATCTGAAGAATTACAAGCAAATATGATTACATAGTATCTATATATATCTATCTAAAATACGCAAAATCATCATTGGTAACAAAACCTGGCTGTTGTTGTAAAACTGCAGCCCCCAGATCCAGACTAGAACCTTCATCATAACCAGCAGAAAATATTGGCATCATCTCTCGCTCCTCTTCTCCATTATTCTCTTCTTGCCCTCTGTCCCCAAACAACCTGCAAAGGACAGATAATTTGGACTTGCTTGGCCTTGGGACCTTTAAAAGGTCTTTGGTGCCTTCTTCCATCAGTAGATCAGGGTGTGCGAGGCACAGGAAGTCTTTCAGGTCTCCAGGCAGGGTGAAGTCGGTCAGGTAGGCCATGGGCTTGGACTGTGACACCTTCTGAAGGAGTTCAGTGGCTCTTTTGTACATGGGGATGAGGGCTCTCAGAATACCTCTGAAGAATACCCTAAAAAAAAAGTGATAAAAAAAAATAAAAAAATAAAAAGCATTATACCATTACAGAATTATATTTGTTGTTCATTGTTCAGGAAAGGTTCAAAATACTCCGAAATTTTCCTAAACAATTCTTAACATTTTGGTTTTTCATTTCATGCTAGAAATACATGCGTGCACACACACACACACACACACACTTGTTTTTTGTAATACAGTTAGTTCTAAAACCTAACCCTAACTCATATCATAACCCTAAATGTGCGGTGAATTTAGCAAAATTTCTGCTAAATATATAGGTAAAAAAGGTCCATTGTCTATTGTCAATAATGTACCAATGCAAACGTCTTACACAGAAGTCAATTTTAAATATTGAATATGTTATTTAAATGCAAGTATGACAAGCAGTTATGGAGATTTCAGGATTCCCCAATTCAAGTAGATAGGACTTGGTCTTGAATGCCCGAAATAGCTGCCCGGAGGCATTGCAAATATGGCCGCCGAGTGAACAGACTCTCTTTCACGGGACTTTGTTCAAGCTCACTTCTGGGTACATACAAATTTGTCCATAAAATAAGGTAAAAAAAAAAGTAAAAATAAAACATCAAATCAGTTTCCTTGATTATACTGAACACACTAAGGCACATTTATTCCAAATCTCAACCATCAAGTTTGCACAGAAATATGAAATGATGCTCCCTCCATGCAGTTTTCCCACCTTGGCATTTTCATACATCCCATATCATACATATGGGAATCCAACAGAGACATGGTAAATAATAACGGTACATAAACTCACCAGAGACGACTGAGCATGCTGAGCATCACCACATTCAGCACAATGAACTCGCGCAGCTGCAGGTGCTGTCGTGTCAGTCTAACTGGGGTGTGAAGGATCACAGTCATTCACAGTTCTTTGATCATACTTTTTATACGTTTTCAAAGCAAAGTAAATGGTTGTGAATGTGAACATTTAGGATACATGAAAGCCTGGGTGCACCGCTCCAGCGTTCGGGCTGAAAGACTCGAGGCTCCAAGTAGTTTGAGACAGAGCCACTCCAACATGGGCTGACTGGGAACATTACACTCGCCAACCTCTAATCCAGCATCCCTGCGCAGAAACCAAAACTCATTCTCAAAACCATAAACTGGACAAAAAGTATTTTCTTTGAAGACAGACTTTGCGATTGTTACATATAAAAATAAAATGAACGAGAAATAAATTTAGAGACTTAATTTTGTAAACTAAACTAGACTTATTTTGTCCATCTGGAATTGATTGGATGGTTGTGGTTTGCTATTGCTATGATCTCATTTGAGTGACAGGTTGTCCCGCCCTAGTGCTTATAAACACATCTCCAGAGAAGAGATGGTGGGGGAGTTATTTTGATAAGATTATGATGGCACATAAAGATGAAAAAAATAAATAATGATGTGTGCACTGATAAATCATTTCTAATAAACACTGCAATATTCCATACAAAAATAAGAATGGTTAATTTTGATTTCATGGTGCTTTAGCCTACACACCTTACCTCTGAAATTTGTTTGGACACAGTTCCTGCAGATCTTCTACTGCTGCTTGTAACTTCATCTCTTTTAAGCGGTTTACACATTGTTCAACCTGCAGATGGTGCATATTTCATACATTTCATATAAATTAAAACCATGGATTTTATTATGGGCTTGGAATAATTATGCAATAACTTATGTAATGTATGTAACATGTATATTGCAGCACTGGGTTCCGACCTGTTTTAATGCTCGGAATGGCTTGTGTTGTCTGAAGCCGTTGTTCAAAACGTAAAGTAGTTCGTAGAGCACACGGATTTCTGTCTGCAGAACTTCACTACATAACAGGGTCAACACTGTCTCACAGTCAGCCAGCAGACAGTTAATCAAGATATCTAGACAGAGAAACATCATTTTTTTTAAAGTGGCATACTGCACACTTAATACACGTTGACTTAAAAAGTTCATAGTTAATAGAGTTGCTATTTGGTGAAACATGTAACGTTAGTGATAAATAAGTGATAGTTAAATTGAGTACATTCACCAAACAACTTGCACATAATACACATTGAGCACGTGCAATTACTATATAACATGGTCATGGAAACATTTAACCTAATGTACCTTAGTAATAATACAAGAATTGCACAATATGCAGAAGATACGCTAACACTAGTATCTAATGCTGGGCAACGTCGGTCCTGGAGGGCCACTGTCCTACAGAGTTTAGCTCCAACCCTGAAAAAATCACCTGCCTGTAACGTTAACTTTCTAGTAATCCCGAAGACCTTGATTAGCTTGTTCAGGTGTTTGATTAGGGTTGAAGCTAAACTCTGTTGGACAATGGCCCTCCAGGACTGAAGTTGCCCATCCATGGTCTAATGAGATCAAAAGTTACGAGTTAAATGCTTTATCACTGCCAATAAATTATATCACGTCACGGCGCACCGTTTCACATTAATCTAGCTGCTAACGGATCCACGTGTTCAGGTTTGTCGCAGGAAAACACACTGACTGTTCGCTTTATATTTCATTTCATGCCGTGTATGTATTCTTCATAGTAAAGTGTAGTAAATATATGGGTTAAAATATTAGAACATACCCGTTGAATCAGTAAAAGGGATTCGAATCGAAGAAACAGCACTTGGAAAAGGAATATAAATTTTATTCCAGGGTTCCTGCGCCATGTTTACAGTTGACTGCCGGAGTGCCGGGGACTCGAGAAAGAACGATTACGTCATAGTTCTTAAAGGTACATACACCGCATTCGTACACTAGAAAAAGCTGATTTGTTAAGGGTGACGAGTTTCTTTTGCGCTTTAATTTTCCTGTGACTCACAAGGATTTTTCTCTTCTAGTTTCTGCAATCAATTCTGGTACAATTTCCCTTCGGTTGTTGATATGCCCATAATTAATCAAACTGAGTTTTGTACAGTCCAAAAACAATAACAAATCTATTCGCTCTCTATTTCTTCTTGCTCTATTGGATTAAATGTGTTGATGACCTTGATTGGGAAAGTGTTTGGTTATTACCTCATATGTTTTTTTGTTTGTTACAAAAAAGGTGAAATAAATTTCTTTCAAGATAATAAATTATACCCTGTCAAATATTTCCTTTTCAGAAAGATATTGATGTGCTGCTATTTTTGCTCTTTGCACTTGGAAACAGTACCCCACATTTTCTGCCATCTGTGTTTATTAAGAAAAAGTTAGGTCTACTCTTTAATTTTGATTTGCATTTTGAAAATGTAATTGTGTACGATAACAGTGCGAATAAGGAAGCTATTGTAATTAATCTGATAATTGTATTAGTCAAATTTCAAATTCGTATAAGTTCTTTAAAAAAAACAAACATTTTCTCAACAGTCCTTAAAGAATTAGAAAATTGGTTTTCTAGTACTAGTACTAATGGAAAAGCTATTAAGACTGCCTATTGTCTTCAAAATCTTTGAATGATAGAAAGGTCTTGTAATCTCTATGAATGTAAGAAAGTGTGTTTTGTATTTTTTGGCATGTCATCTTTCTTTTGTGTGTGTGTGTGTGTATGTGTTCTTTGCTCCCCTGGCTCCAAAGTGTATATTGTATTATTTTGTTGTTTAAAGCACTAATGCAATGCCCGTGCAAAATCTGTTATTAGTAATTGTTGGTTTGGTATGTTGGAGTTGATGAATAGCCAAGGCTACTATTACACAGGAGCCTAAACTCTGAGAAAACTATAACGTTAAACGCGCCAGAATAAAATATAATATTCAGAAGTAAACAGTGTAGCTGACTTACAGATTCAGTTAAATCACTACTTTTTCAAAAAAGAACCACCGGTTACCTCTCAACTAATGCTGTAAACATACAGGGAAACCAGTCAGCTGGTATTCATATAACATGTTTTTTAATGATATAAGAGTAAAAATATATTAAATGTAATACAGCGCATATATTTATCAAAATGCTCCTCTCTAGAGTTAATTTGTCTAGCAAACTAACATCCTATGGTCATTGAAAGGCCATAGCATTACACTCATTGAATGAGTACTGTACATGAGACATGACGATACATTTCAGTAAGCTGTACTGTATATTTCAATATACCTTCTGATGTTCATTCTTGTTTATTTGGTGCTAACTAAGGGAGACAGATTATCGGTAACCAAACAGCTAATGGGACCCCATTGACTTCAATAGTATTTTTTTTTTCATACTGCAAGTGAATGGGGCCCAATCAACTGTTTGGTTACCCATATTCTTCAAAATATCTTCTTTTGTGTTCAGCAGAAGAAAGATAATCATAAGGTTTGGAACAACTTGAGGGTGAGTAAATGACAGAATTTTCATTTTTGGGTGAACTATACCAATAAAATCCCAATTTTGACAGGGGAGTGTAAGGAGTATTTAACATGAGAGTGTAGTATTATAGCCACTGTAATATCAAAGGTGTACTTGGTTTATCATATAGTTTAAACAAATTAATAATATATATAGGTCAGATATATACAGTATGCTATGCTTTACCGAACCGTGACTTCAATACCAAAGTATGTACCGAACCGTCATGTTTGTGTACCGTTGCACCCCAAATATATATATATATATATATATATATCAAACTTGACGGTTTGGTACAGTATGTAATCCAATTCAAATAAAGTATTAATAACCATAATACTAATTATTTATGTTTCTGTAACACAAACAAAACGATATATATTTATAATATTATGATCTTTATTATTGTTATATAAATGATCTGTAATGGAGTTAATATAATGAGGAACAGATGGTTAGGGTAAGGCTCAGCATCTCACCATCTTTTTTCATCCAACAGTAAGAATAATATTTATGTATTTATAAATGCACATTTCATTTGTGTTGTAGTACCCATGCAATAATCTGTGGATTGACTTCCTCCAGTACTGATTCTTCTGTTCTGCCTCGTACTTTGAGTCCATGGTTAGCATCCTTGACCCAGTGAACGGCAGAAGGGTTTTTCATGACGTGCCTAATAATTTCTAGAAGTCTCTGAAAGGCAAGCAAATTATAAGCTTTGTTTATCATTAAAGAAGAATGTGATAGATTAGGTAAATCAAGGTTTAAAAACTTCAAGTTAAAGGGCTAGTTTACCCAAAAATGTTTTATAAAAAATAAATGTCATTTATTCACCCTCACATTTCAAACCTGTGTATGACATTCTTTCTTCCGTGGAACACAAAGATATTTTGAAGAATGCTGAAAACCAAAAGGTATTGGTGGTGACCATTGACTTTCATTGTGTGAACAAAAAAACACATTTCTCAAACTTTCTTTTGTGCTCTATAGAAAAAGTCCTACAGGTTTGGAATAAAGTGAGGGTGAGAAAATTATCAAAATATTTCTTATTTTTGGGTGAACTATTCCTTTTAAAGGTTCAACAGGAACAACTTTCATTTAAGCCCCAGATCAATGGAAAACTTCTCATCCGTGTTCACCTTTTCACACAAGTTATCTGTAGTGCCGGAAACAAAAAGCACAGAAGTTCGCGACAGCGCAAGCAGGCCTCTGCTCCGCTCAACATATGTTAGTGGTTTTCCTGGTAGATGAAGAGGGAATGACAAACACAGAACACCCTGGACTGCATCCTTCTGTCTCTGCATACGTTCACAAACAGCAACAGCTGTACGAGCACCCATAGAGCGCCCTGGAAACAAATAGACAAAGAGAATTTATTAGACATAAAGAAATGTATTTCCGAGAAGTACAGTAAAGCCTCTAAAAACCAAAACGGCATCTGCTAATTTTTCAGTTCCTCCTTCAAAAATAGAACACTTTTGCTCATTCAAACAAACAAATTCATCTCTCACAGAAAACCTGGTATACTTTCTCAGGCTTGTCAAAAATACCATTAGAGAGTGTTTGAGAAAAAAAAGAGTGAGTCCTACCTCCCAAGAAAATTCTGTTTGGTGCAAATCTCTCATGGCTCTTTAAGTAATTCTGGTAGATAGCACAATTGAAAGTGTTATTTATGCAATATTAGTAATATTCGTAACAATTTTCTTCTCATTTATTGCTATACATTTATGTAAGTATCTGATGGATTTGTATAGTTTTGGTGTAGTATTAAAAACAATACAATAATAAAATGTGGTTGCAATATAAACATTTCACGTGCACGGTGGTGCATATAATATTGAAAAATAAGTTCTTACCACAACGGTGAGATAAGCTCTGAATCTGTACATGAAGTTCACCGCCCTGCAGGTGAATCGCAGACACAGAACTCCTGAACGTGCGAGAGCGTGCGCTAGGCTCTCCAGCTGTCTGGCGTGCATGTCTCCGCCCGCACCGTGCGTCAACACCACAGCGGTGCATTCCGCGCCGAAGTCAGCAGGGACCGTGAACACGCATTCCAGCTCTTTCTGCTCGAACGGGATGCTCACACTCTCCTGTAATATTCCGCTGATTAAAATCTCTCAAAAAGTGTCAAAAACGAAGCTCTCATAAATAAATTCTTGGTAAAGCTTGGCATTAGAAACTGCAAAACACTGCGAAGCACTCATTTTCCAATTTGTTTAATGAAAAGTGTTACTATAAGTAGGTTTCGATGTTTTTTATAGAGAAAATACCTCTGAAAACTCCATTTAGGGGTTAATTGTTGCGTCAAAGACTAGTGTAGAAGTTCAATGTAAGTTCTTGCGTGGTTGAAGGAACGGGTCGAGCTCCAAAATTCCCGGGTAGAATTTTCTCACAGACTCACACGTGGACGCGCCAGACATGCGGATCAAATGAATCACGTTATTAACAGCGCCACCTAAAGTAAAGGGGTAATTCAGACACATGGAGCACACTAAAAATATATGAATGTCATCGTTTTATTATTTTAAGGAAACACTTCACAAACAAAGGCTTTCAAAAAAGGAAGTGTGTTTGGTTCTTAATGTTAGATAGGAAATTAAGTCCAGGGCGTTTTTTTTTTACTCAAGTAAACATTTCTCAAGATAGGCTTAAGTCAGTTTATACGCATAAACATTAAAGTCTTGTCTAAAAAAGAGTAAAGACCTTTTTGTTATAGTTAATTTTTCCGAATAAATAACAGGATTATTCTGGTCCAATCTTGGTGGAACATGTGAGTATTGCATAGTTATTTTATATTAAAGTTTACTCTGATTTTAAAGCAATAAGCAAGCCCTTCTATCAAACTTTCTAAACAAAAATGGACCTAATATACAATTCATATAAACCAGACCAGCAAGAGTGTAGAAATAGAAAGATTTAATACAAAAAACAACAACAACAACAACATTCAGTTAAGACATTGCAGTCACAAGACACTTGATGCACCAAGTCTGTGGCCTTAGAAACATATTCTGGTGCAAATCCATCTAAATTTGATGGCCGCTGTTACATGATGGAACAGGAGGAATCACAGCTCATCTCTGACCTACAGTATACAAAAACAAAAACAATTCGAAATGTTTGATATGATCCAGGACTAATGCATTGCAGACTTAAAGAATTCATATAAACATTTTATCAGAGTAATCTGCTGATCAGTCCAAGTCATAAAAGTGTATTGTCCTCATAAATCCAGTTTGTCTGCTTTATGAAATGACAATAAATCCATCAGATACTTAATTAACCTTACATCATTATACCATATGGTGGTAAACTGTAGCTACCTTACAACTTTTATAGTCCCTGTCGTTTCTTAACAATAAATATTTTATTTTATAGTGCAGAAAATTCAAAGATTAACAGTATTATTTAATTATATAAATAGTATAAAACAGAATAAACTGAAACTTTGTTAAAACATTTGAAAACATGTCTGTATACATTCAATAAGGCTGCATTTATACTGCATGTCTTGATGCCCAATTCCGATTTGCTGACTATATCCAATTTTTTTGATGACCACCTTACAACTTTTAAAAGTGACCCATATCCAATATCTGCATTTACACAACACTTAGTGAAACAACCAAGGTAGACTTTAGGGATGTTCATTTCGTCTTTATCCTTAACCTACGTCCGTTAACCGATCATTAACCGGTAACTGGCAAGATGTTAAATTAGAATTAAATTAAATTACAACGGATAAGTCTGAATCTGTGACCCATTAAAAATAACAAAATTTGTTGTCCAGGGGTTTAGTTTAACATGCGCAAATAGCAGCATAAACACAGTCGATGATTTTTTATGTTGATAATGGAATGCGAGTGAAGTACAAAGCCCATAATTTAAACAATAAATAATAGTTTAGCTGTAAATAATAGTTTATTTGTGCTGAATGAGGTAGGCTACATGAGCCCAATGCCGGTTTCTGTTTTAGTTTAGCCTTAAATGAATTTGTTTTTGCTTAATGTTTATATAGCTAGCCTACATTTATTTTTTTCATTCTTGTTCTGTTCTGAATATCCGTTGAATTTAAAAGATGTTGTTGTGGAGTGAGGGAAACTAAAATAGCCTAGTGTTTATGATTTCAATTTATTTACCTGTATACATTATTTCTGAATGTAATAGCCAAATAAAATGCGACTTGTACGCAACTTGAGTTGACGTCATTCGCCACCGTGGCTTTTTCTATTATACGACTCACTTTGACAGGGGAATTTCTGATCTGTCCGCTTACATGGCAGACGAAAATCCATGTATTTAAGTTATATCAGATTTATTTCAACAAATGAATGAGGCCTGAAACCGATCTGAGAATATCGGAATCCATGTGTTTTTTTCCTGTTTACACATTCGCCAGTCATATCCGATCTGTGCCACATGAGAGGGGAACAAAAATAGGAATTGGGTCACTTGAACCATGTAATGTAAATGCGGCCAATGGAGTTTGGTTATGATATTTTATTTTGATGGACTCCTAAGAATAGACTATTGTGCAATGATGACTTTTTAGTATCAATCTCTGCTACTGTGTAAAATAGGTTCAATTACGAACAATGAATGTACACATTTTGGTGATTTCTTTTAATAATATAACCAAGGACACACAGACCTGTTTACTTGCGCAGTAACATGGGAAAAGTTCATCCTTTGGCTGCTCCACCAGCTCCATGCCATCTCTAACCTTGGGCTCAGTGACCTGCAGTTCAGAGTACTTCTAAAAACGAAAACACAGAGCTAGATGAGAGCAGAAATTTCATTTGGTGTACACAATTTCACTGGCAAAACAGAGCAGTAAAGATATATAATTTATTTCTCAATATGCAAGTTCAGCTACACAATTTGTGATTAATCCACCCAATCACACACCCCTTTTCATTGTCCTGGTAAAGCACTATTATTTTTATTTTTACTTTTAAATGTTAATTAACTGCAACATCATCACACTAAACAAGCATCTTTATCTGCAGTACAAATCACATAAAATTCAAGTAGCCGCTGTGGTCTTGACCTCCAACACTTCCACACCTCAAACACACAGGTTTATTGCTGAGAAGTGCTTTGAGGCCAGAACGTGTGTTTAAAGATTAATGTTTGGGCCGATGGTTATGGAAAACCATAAAGTGCTGAGGTTCATGACCTCAGGGATACTTGTGCTCAATGACTACTGTGAGCACTCAGGAAACTTGGGACCAGCTAAAAAAAATATTTAAACAAATCTGATGGAAAAAAAGGAAAATATTATATTTAGTGAGGTGAATGCCTTTACAGATATTTAGTTCTCAGTGTTAAAAAGGTCAAATAATAATACATTTTATTTGCAATGCGCCTTTCTCAAACTCAAAGTGTACATGTCAACATGTACAGAACAAAATAACAAATCAAACAATACATAATACACATCAAAAATACATATGTATTAAATGAAAAATATGCACAACAAAATGACTTAAAAATAAATGATTAGATATAAATCATATATTTAAAAATCGCAATGTCTTAATTATTAGAATATTACTGCTGTTATTATAATCATTACTAATTTTGTCCTTTGTTTTGAGAATGTTGATATACAGAGTAAAGAAACAAAACCACCAATTAGTGATTACTGATTTAGAATAAGACTTGTTTTTGTGGTTAATTTACTAGATATCAAGTTTCAGAACAATTTACAATTAGGAAATGATGGGGAAAATATATCCAACACTGAATATGTATAAAGTAAATACCCACAGCAGACCTAGAAAGATTGAATCTTACAGAAACACGCTCATGAGTCTTTATTATATGATAAAGGAAAGTGCTTCTAGTCATATTACCATAGTCTTATCAACACATACAGTAAAATGACTGCTTAATGTGTGTGCTATGCAGATGGCAAGACGTGCACTATCTGACCTTTGTCTTTCGAGTCCTTGAGAACATAAAACTTGCAAGAAGATTGAAGATCAAGAGAGGATAAGATGTACACACTGATAAGTTCATAAAATCAAAATAATGTGAGCAGAAAAGAGGAGTTAAAAAACAAATTTAAAACAAATGTATAACTTTTTAAGACCTGAATAAATGAAAATACTGTACACATATAAAGAACAAACTTACGCCATCTACTGTCAGAGAGTGAATGTGCATTTTTATTCAGTGCGTCTCCTTCAATCGTTCATAATTCTCATCCATGTTGGGCTTGCATACATTAGAGTGCGGATGCACACGCAATGTTGTAAATTTTCACCAGCTGATGTAAAAGTATTCATTAAATCTAAATAATTAGAAATTCGCCTTCATTCCCAAAGTGCCTAATTTAAACGCCTTGTGGCATAAATTGCTTTGCTTCGTTGCTGTCATTGTTGCCAACCATCTCTGAAACGGGTCATCTTCGAGATATTGAGAGTTAAATTAGCACTTTTGGGAGTTAAATTAGCACTCATTTTGCCTGCTCTCTTCTCTCAAGCGACTAACCCTCCCTTACTCATCTCTGGTGAAGCGTGCACTGTGATGTACCATGTAAAAAAAGACACGGTAAAAGTCCTTAAAATGTAATGCCTAGAAGGAAAAATACATATTTAAGACTTTTTAATGCCCCGTGGAAACCCTGCATACAACCAAGAGTCTGTAGTGTCAGCGAAACAACAACCTTTCCGCTCTTGGTGTAATCTTTGCCACAACAGATACACCAGAGCACTGATCTGAAGAAAGAAAAAAAAATTACCTGGAAGAGTTTGAAGTAGTAACAGAATATACTGTCACCCATTAGATGGGTTCGTGCAAACTGCTGACCTGCCAGGGCAATTTTCTTCGCCTATAAGATTAAAAAAACAAACAGAAATTGCAGGTTGCAGGATTGTTTGTTCAGTTGAATATTGCTACAATCAAGGGTTGACTGCAACCCCTTTCACCCGCATCTCACACTACTGAACAGCAACATAACAAGCTGCATGTAAACCTTCTGCTTTGAAAACAAGAAGAAAAACTTCAACATCTGTAATTCAAACAGTTATGTATGTATCACTATAGTGTTTCCAAGCCTTCGGCGTTGGCTGCTGTAGTACCCATGACTGGTGGCTTGGTTCCCTCTTGCTTCACGTCAGATGTTGAAGAAATTAACAAAACAGTTTGTTCAATTCAGATTTTTCACCTTTTGTTTCTGAAGGTTTGTTTGTATCTCTTCTGCAGGGTGAAAAAATTCCGGTGAAAATTTTGCGAGACTGCTTCGTTTGCGAATCTGCTTCGTTTATTTTGGGATCGGTTATTGCCTTTCTCAAACGAAACTTTTACTGGTGATTCACTGTTGATTTGTGGAATAGGTCTGACTAAGATGTCTGTACCTTTACATAAGGTTATTTTGTACTCTCATTTAGTTCAAGGTGAAGTCGAATCGGGGGTGAGACCAGCTCTACCAGTGGAAGGAATTTCAGTGATTCTGGGGAACAATCTGGCTGGGGGGCGGGTTTGGAGTGATGTGCCCTTACCTTTGATTGTTTCATCTAAACCTGTTTCTACTGGGGACATTGATGAGAGTGTGCAGAGTTTACCTGATGTTTTTTCAGCATGTGTGGTTACGCGTGCTGCCAGTTGCCACTACAAAAAGTGCGGAACCATCTTTGGCGGAGGAAGGCATCTCGTGGCCACATACTCTTCTCTGTGTCTCAGGGTGAGTTGATTAAGGAACAAAAGACAGATTTTACTCTGAATGTTCTATTTTCACTGGTAATGACCGACAACAACAGTGCCGCACAGGGGGATTTTGTTTGTGAGGGAATTCTAATAAGAAAATGGGCACCTCAGGCTATTGAAAGCTTGAACCGTTGTTCAAGTAGTAATTCCAACGGCGTTTCGTTCAAAACTCGTATTAAAACTCGCTCATGATGACTTATCTGGACATCTTGGAGTGGAGAAAATTTATAATCGCGTTATGCGTAATTTCTTTTGGCCTCGCCTAAAACGCGTTGTGTCTAAATACATACGAACGTGTCATACATATCAGGTGTCAGGTAAGCCTAATCAAAATCCAAAGCCGATTCCATTGTGGCCGATTCCTGCTGTGTGTGAACCGTTTAACCACCTAATCATGGACTGTGTTGGACCCTTGCCCCGTTCCAAATCTGGTAGTGAATATTTGCTGACCATTATGTGGCAGGTTACGCGGTATCCTGCTGCCTTTGCGTTGCGGTCAATCACAGCAAAATCCGTGATCAAAGCATTGTCTCAATTTATGTCGGTTTTCGGAATACCTAAAATTATACAGTCAGATCGGGGTACTAATTTCACTTCTGGTGTGTTTGAGGAGGTTTTGCGTCAACTTAATATTAAGCATAATATATCCACCGCATATCATCCTCAAAGTCAGTGTGCGTTAGAACGCTTTCACCAGTCACTTAAGTCCTTATTACGTGCTTATTGTACGGAATTGGATCGAGACTGGGAGGGCTTACCTTGGCTTATGTTAGCGGCAAAAGAAGTGACCCAGGAGAGTACTGGATTTAGCCCGAATGAACTCGTTTTTGGGCATACCGTTCGTGGGCCATTAGCTGTATTGCGAGATGGCAGGCTACCTACTGAACCACCGAAAAAGTTGACTGAGTATGTTGATGGTTTTAAAAAACGACTTTTTGAAGTGGTTAAAGTGCCAAAAGTGAACCTGGAACAAGCACAATCAAAAATGAAACGTTTGTATGATCGTAGGACGGAACATCGTTCTTTTTGTGTTGGTGATCAGATGCTGGCCTTGTTGCCCGTTTTTCATCTCCATTTAAAGCTAGATTTGCCGGGCCATATGTCATTATACGACGGGAATCTGATGAAAATTATGTCATCAGTACGCCAGAGAGAAGGACTAAAACCCAGTTATGTCATGTGAATTTGCTTAAATCTTATTATGTGCGGGAGGAACGGGTATCGCCTCATAAAACAGAATCGGTTGCTTTGTCCGTGGATCAGGGCTCATCACGGGACGAGTAGCCTTTGACAGATTAGGCATTGGAACCTGAAGACTGCATTTTGTGTCCTCAAATGAGTAATTTGGAAACTTTGAGAAATTTGCCAACATTCCTTGAACATCTTCCTACTGAAAAGCGTGAGTTAATTCCGCAATATTCGTCCTTGTTTTCCAATGTCCCTTCTCAGACGCACGTAATACAACATGACATTGATGTGGGTAATTCCCCTCAGATACGTCAGCGCTTTTATAGAGTACTGTGGGAAAAAAGAAAACAGCTGGAGTCAGAGGTTAAGTATTTGCTTGATAATAACCTAGCCGTTCCGTCACTCTCAAGTTGGTCTTCTCCCTGTTTGTTAGTAAAGAAAAAGGACAGGACATTTAGATTCTGTACAGATTATAGAAAACTAAATGCAATCACTAAACCAGACCTTTTTTTGGCTTCCACGTATAGAGGATTGCGTGGATCGGTGGGTACAGCGAAAATCTTAGCAAGTTTGACTTGTTATTGGCAGGTCCCGTTGACAGAGCGTGCTCGAGAAATCGCTGCTTTTATTACTCCAGATGGTGCATATTCATATAACGTTATGAGTTTCGGATTGCGAAACGCACCGGCCACATTTCAACGGTTAATGAATTGTGTGGTAGCTGGGCTTGAGGGGTGTGCGGTTTACTTGGACGATTTAGTTGTGTATAGTGATTCATCGGAGGAACATTTATTCTGAATTCAGTCTTTGTTCAATCGCTTGAAAGACCGTGAACCTAGCGAAGTGTGAGTTCGCTCGGGCCACGTGACTTATTTAGGTAAGGTAGTTGGTCATGGCGTTGTTCGACCGGTGAATGCAAAAATTGAGGCAATCAATAAGTATCTCCACCCTGTACAAAGCGGGAGTTGATGTGTTTCCTATGGATGGTGGGGTACTATCGGAATTTTTGGAGGAACTTTTTTCAGAAATTGTTGCCCCATTGACCGATCTGTTGAAAGCGTCACGTACGTTTGTTTGGAGTTCAACCTGCCAAAATGTCTTTGAGAATGTTAAAGCGCACTAGTGCTCCAGTCCTTGCCGGTCCTCAGTGGGATAGATCGTTTAAAATTGCATGTAGATGCTAGCAAGGTAGGGGCGGGAGCTGTCCTTTTACAGGATGACGATGAGGAAGTTGAACATCCGGTATGTTTCTTTTCGAGAAAATTCTAGTCATATCAGCTAAACTATTCAGTTATTGAAAAGGAGGTGTTGGCGCTGGTTTGGGCGCTTCAGCATTTTGACGTTTATGTGGGAGGGGGTGGTACGTCCGTTGTGATTTATTGTGATCATAACCATAACCTTACGTTTTTGACAACCCTTCAAAATCCTAATCAAAGGTTGATGTGCTGGTCATTATTTCTGCAACCTTATAATTTGGAGATCTGCCATATAAAGGGAACTGAAAACATTTTTGGCGGATGCATTGTCCCGTGCACCTCTATCTTGAGAGTTAATGTGCTACTCTATGCCTTTATTGTGTCTGTCATTGTTTTCTCTTCCTAGGACCCAGGTCGGGTAGTAGGGATGGTGCGGCAGTGAAGGAGATGTGCTTTGATACAGTGTCAGAGTGACATCGATATGCTTGGAAACAGAGTAATTATAGGGTAAATCTTGCAATAGCTCTTTGAGTTTTATTTTATGGGGGAGGGTGTGACGTCCCTGTCGGCCGTTCCTTGCTTTGTGTGCGTGTTTGTGTGTGTGTGTGTGTGTTGCATCTGTATTGTTTGCAGGTGACTGGCTGATTGCGGCGTGATTGGGAGCACCGTCGCGCAGGTGTTCTTCGTTCCCTACAAAAGCTGAATGTTTCCTGTCGGCGAGAGTCTGCTCTGGGGATGCGTTGGACTTGGCAGTTTCTTGTCCTTCAGGTCGATACCTGTGGCTTTAGATGGTCAAATCTCGGCTCATTTTGAGGAAGAATGTAAAAAAAAGCTCAGATATTTTGCAATGTAAAGGTATTCGTCTCTCCTTATTTGTAATGATCCTTCTGGATCGCAACACAAGGTTAAATAACTGCAATGCATGACCTTGATTCGAGATTTTTCAACATTTATTAAAAATATTAATAATCCCAATATGGTAAATCCAGATAAAAAAAATTCTGTGCTCCCAAAATTTTTAATACACATTATTTAGTGTTCAAATGAGATGTTTGTGTGTGAATGGGGATGATGTACAGTACCTCCTCATCGTGGTCTCTAGCCCACTGGATCTTCTCCACTAGGTCACTGAGGTCAGCTTTAAAGGGGATGTAGTGCACCCACGGCTGGAGTTGCTTGTAAAAGTGCTCATAATAGATGGAGTCGTGTTTTAACACCACACTGTCACCTGCAAGCAGATAAGGTAATCTGTATGCTGCGACCGTCCCATCCACATTTATCTGGTACTTATACTGTTAAGAGAAACATACAAGTCACCTCAGTTAAAAAATAACACTACATAAAACATTTTAAAAAACTATGCTGTGTGTATTGAAGTTATGTGCAATTCACGCACCTCAAAGAAGTCGAAAAAGGACACATGTTTGACGAGGGGCCCATAAAGGCTCTCATCGTGTTTGAAAAAGAAGAAGTTGGTTAAGGCGGCATCGAGCATGGCAGGGTTCGCTCGTGCCAGTTTAACCAGCTCAAGACGCTCTTTCCTGCTGTCTCGCCCTCTCCAGAATGCTTTGCTCATCTTCTGCTTCCACGTTGGACCTGTGTGTCCCTGGACAGACATCATGTCCAGGCTCACTCTGCCACAAAACAAAATGATCAAAGAAAAAATATTTTATTCAGTGAGATTTCCTAATGTTATGTAATGATTCATGATTCATGATTTTACTATTCATAATACTGAACTTTTCTATTATTTTTTCCCCTCATCACATTTTTTGTTGTAAAATTTGTGTAAAGGTTAGAATAGAAATTGTCTCTTGTTTTCATGAACAGACACTAATTTTACCTAACATCAAATTATTTTATATCTTATAAAAGAATTCACTCATAATCCAACTTTGAGACCAATAGTGAATATACTACCTTACTGCATTTTTCTCATTTTTTCTATGTTCAAAATTTTCCTAAAACTCTTTGTTCTCCATAAAAAGTTTTATGTTGTTCCATAAAAAGTTTAAAAAGAGTTACAATTCAGTTTTCTTTACCTGCCCATAGTCTCCAAAACAGACTCGGTGAGGTCATAGGTTGGCATGACGATGTCTTGTGTGTCATTGGAGCCACACCATGAAAAGATTGGGCTGGGCATCTCAGAGGGCCATCTCTTCTCCAGGGGCCAGTCCCCCAAATTCACAAAAAACTCAATGTCTGGAAGCTTGACCTGGTCACACACAACCGCATTAAATTGACTTTTTATTTTTCATTTCAGACATTTAACTTATAACATACATAATATTCAAAAGTTTTGGGCCTGTAAGAATTTTTGTTTTGTTTTACTTTTTACAATTTAATTATACATTTTATACAAAAAAAATATTAATACAGGTACTGCGTTAGATTAAACTGGGAAGGGTCATAGGCATAGGACTTGCATATTGTTGTCCTATTGTTAGTTTAACTGCTTCTATTGTTCTCATTTGTAAGTCGCTTTGGATAAAAGCGTCTGCTAAATGAATAAATGTAAATTATACAATTTGAAATAACTGTTTTCTATTTTAGTAGAATACAATTTTTATTCTTTGGTGATAGATAGTTTAAAAGAACATTGTTTATTTTTGATATATAATTCTATGGTAACATTATAAATGTCTTTACTGTCACTTTTAATCAGTTGAATGTGTCCTTGCTGAATAAAAGTATTCATTTCTTTAAAAAAAATGTTTATGTACCCCAAACCTTTGAATGGTACAGTAGGTAGTGTATGAAAATATAAGTACTGAAAACTACATAAAAGTCTTTTTTTTTGTAATACGTGCACAGATACTTAAATACTTTGCAATACGTGCACAAAAACAATTGTTTTGTGCATGCCTCCAACCGATCTATGTTACAGTGCCATCTAATGGTTCTGAAAGTAAATGACTGAGAACATACATGATGTGTTTATAAATAACATTATTATTACTTCACATCATTTATGTGCATAAAATGTTTTAAGTTGCAGTATACTGAGCTAATACTCACTTTACGCGTGAAGGACAGAAGGAAGGCATCCATGAAGATCCTAAATCCAACATGTTCTCCATGTGTTTTTATATAAACCTACAGTAACAAAGCATACAAAGGCACGTGACATTATGAAACATATTTCAAACTTTGGCATCCACTTGCTTCTTTATGTAGCAAGGCTACAGAAAGATTGTAATGAGCACATTGCATGCGTATATGTGCGTGTACCTGGTTGTTTTTGATGGTGTAGTGGCACAGGCTGTGTCTCTTCCCGAAACGCTGAAGGATCTCATGGGCATTACGATCTGGATCCACACTGGGAAAGCCGGATAAATCACTCTCTATCTGAGAGAATGAGGCCGGACAGTGCATGTTCTTCTCCCATAATGCACCACTGGGCTCTGGGCAGTCACATGATTCGTGATACACTGCACCTGGGTGGTGAAAACTAGGTTAGACATTGTTCATCTCTGTATCATGGAAGTAGACTTGATTCTTCTCACCTCTAAGCACATAAGGTGATTTCCCCACCAGCTTGTCTTTCAACAGAATCTGAATGTGCAGATCAGTGTAACTGGCGTACATGCGGTACCGAACCAAAAAGGATCCGTCGTTCCGGTCTAAAATTTGGATCCAGATTCTGGCATACGGGTCTGTTGGAGATGTAATTTTCACTTCGAATGTTTTCTCTCCAGGAGAAGTCGTGAAACTAAAGAGAAGGACATTCAAAATGTCAAAGACATTATTATTTGAGCCATGACAGAATTAAACTGATGCCTTAAAATTAATTCTTAAACAAAATGCCTTCACTGCCCTTGGCGAAAATCAAAGAAAGACCTGTCCTGGGAATTCACCAGGCATTTGCGGTTTCATTTATCACAGAACACACAGTCTCTGCTACAATGCAGTCTAGAGACAAACATACATTCATAAAAGACTGACATAGACTAATCAATCACTACTAATTTGTCCTTTAGCAGATCTAGTCAAGCACTTACAACACACAATTGCCCTAGATTAAATGGAAATTTAATTTAAAAATTAAAAATTAAATTTAAGGGCTCTGGTTGTTCGTATCACTTTAGGATCTGCAGATAAGCCTATTTTTATGCTACATAGTACCTTTTAGTTGATGCTGCATTATAGGTTCTTTAGACCTGCGTATTAGTCTCTGGCTTCATCAAGTACCAAGATGGTTTATATCTACAGAATAAGATGATCTAGGTGGAACTCTGAAGGTTCTACTAGTGTATGATATAATTTTTGGTTCTAGTTGGAACTGAACAAATTTGAGCTTTCTTTTTTAGACTAGTGGAAAGAACACATTCAAAAGTGAAGTGTTTATTTTATAACACTTTATGTATTTGCGTCTGTACAGCACACACCTTTAAAGGCTGTTTTCTCATGCACTGATCCAGAAATTGTCACTTCAGTAGCATTTACATACACCAAACTTTCCCATCTAATTCTAAAATGGCTTTACATAGAAGTATGTTCATGTATCATTCGCCTGATTTATACTGTATAACGTTTTATTTCATTAAAAACATTTATTTACTGAAAAAAATATTTTCTGGCTGTCAAAAAATATTTTCTGGCTAAGAAAAATCCAGTGTGTAAAAAACCCTTTAGCTCCAATGTCAACTAAATTAAATCTTGAACATGGCTTTATCTATGTTCAAATATCTGTTCAGGAAATGCAACATCCATGCATATTTAATTAGACAATTTGGATATTTGGATATTTAAACAACATTTCAGAAAACTTGTAATACTTGTCTTGATGTCCTGTAATCAGCTTGGTAGGTGTGGTGATATTCACATATTCCTTCCATTCACATGTAGTGTCTTTCTTTGCATAAAAATTGAACGTGAAGTTAAGTGTCGACGGGTTTTGAACTTACAACTTTAATTTTACAGTAGTCAGATGTTTAAACACTAAGCCATACCGGCCCATTATGGTCTTCTAGCAGGACTCACTCACTTTCGTCCGGTGGTGTCCACTGTCTGTATGAAGAAGAACCGAGCAGGAAGGACAATGTTTGTCTCCAGTCCAGGACCCCAGATCAAAGTTTTGCTCGCGCTGGGCGCCGCTGCTGCCTTTGATCTCCGCGTCATGAAAACGATGCAAGGCATCAAGAGCAGCAAAAGTTTTCTCAACATGTCCATGGAGCGTGAGAGCACTTTCAGTAGTGGATGCTAGTGCATAACCTCATCAGAATGACAACCCTCTTAAGAGCTCATAATAAAACATGAATAAAACATTGCTTAAAAACACTAATGATACATTTTACCACATACTCACATTCACCAAAATACCAGCGGTTCGATGTGCAAACTAACCCACAGATACCCTCGTGAGAAAATCTCTGCAACAGACCCAGTGCGCTCATGTGATTGGTCGTTCGCACCTTGCGTACGCTAATGACGCAACTTACTGGAAGCTGATTGGCTGTGTAATAGGAAGAGGAAAGACGTTTGCGCTGTTCGTTTTTGTAGGCTACACAGCGGATCCGTCAATCACAAATTATGATCTTATAACACGTACAAAAATGACCATGGTATTGTTTCTACAGAAAACCTGTGGTAAATTAGTATTATCCATCACAGCAATAAAAATCAATTTTATTGAAGAGATTCCATCAACAATGACTTGTCACTTGCAATGGTAGGTCTACCATGGTAGATATGTAAAGGCTTATTATTAGTTTTTCTTTAACTATGAAACTCTACACAAAACTACGCAAAACATCAGACATCTGTTGCAAAAGCAAACACTTAATTCAAAACTATTTTAACTCTTCCAAAAATGGTTTTTGCGTGGTTACTCCATAAACAAACATCGAATGATTACGTTAGCCACATACACACACCAAACTACAGACAGATGTGAAAAAATGTAAAACACTACTAGTGCTTTTTGTTTGTTCAGTGTGCAGTGGAGTTACAGGAGTTTGTCACACGTACACTGTATACAGTAATGATGTACAGTAACGATGAACTTTACAGTTATGGAACTGACCTGAATCAATACTGAACTGACTTGAGCTGAATAATGACACTATTATATTGGCTTGTTAGAACTGTTTTACAGCAGAATTAGAATTTGTTACTATTGTGAAGTTGCTGAAAAACAATCTATATTGTATCTTGTATATTTATATATATATACACACACTGAATATGCATACAAGCCAAGTCAGAAAGTCACATTTATAAAGTGCTTTGTGTGTGTGTGTGTGTGTGTGTGTGTGTGTGTGTGTGTGTGTGTGTGTGTGTGTGTGTGTGTGTAGGAAAATCACTGTAAACCCTAACGCTCAAAATATTAATTGGTTTGAGTAGGGCCAACTTAAATTATACAAATTAGTTCAATCAAATTAACTTTCTTCACCTTAATTATTTAGAACTTTCTTTTTCTTTTGAGTTCACAAAACTGACACATTTTAAGTAAGTTGAATAATTTCATTGTTTTGAGATCTATGGGTTACCATCATGGTGACGAATGGAGCATGAGCTTTGGTTGAGAACAGTGTATATTAAATGTTTTAAATTGCTGTACTTATTCATCAAGTGCTATGCTAATGCTATTAAGTTAATTTCTTAACTTAAAAAATTTGATGTATACATATATGTAAATATATACACACATAAATGTATATATATAGAAGGATAGAAGAAAGATAGAAGGATGGTAAACATGGCAACAACTGATCAGAGGAGAGGATCATTCTGCTTTACAGCGCTTCATGGCTCCTGGGAGTTTCTCTTGTAGCTTGGCCATTGTATTGACTTGAGTGCGTACAATGTCGATGTAATGGTCAATCTGGGTCTTGTTTTTCTAATAGATGAGCTGTACACTGAAGAGCAGGATGTCAGCGAGGATGAGGATGGTAATGCTTTGAAGACCGCTTCAACATATGTCAGCTGATATATATATATATATTTACACTATAAACAGAAATTCAAGGGGGTAAAAATAATTTCTTTCTAAAAACACTGATTTTTGATTTCCAAGTGATCAATTCATGTATAAGTGTTGATCATTGGGTGTAGGTAATCATTAAATTAATGTGGCATTTAAATGGCGGTGTTTCCCAAATGAAACAAAAGAGCTGTTAGTTTTGAAACGTGTGTAATGTAGAGAACTGTGTTTAGAGTTTTGCAAAAGTTGTGTAAAGCACGTAATGTGCTTTTAGTTTTGCAGACTTGGTCTGAAAATTCGGTACACGAGTGAATGGTTTCACTGAGTGAGCCTCAAGTTCCACTTTTAGTGTCTAAGCAATTTGAAGAAAAAAACTAAGATAGATAGACAGACAAATTGTTACAAGCCTATATTTATGTATTTTGCATATTCAAAATATGCAGTCTTCTGTGAGCATAGAATACACATTCTTGGTACTGTTGGCTTGTTGGTTGACAACTTACTAGCCCATTATATAACAGAAACAAACCAGTCTTATGATGTTGTGTACATCAATAAATGTTTATTTCATTTTGATTTGCATCAACATTATTTCCATTTTATTTTCAATAACCTCTATAACACTACTAGAATATCGATAAGAACGAAAGGTGGCATTATCCATTTAAACAAGACCGACGTTGCTGCCTTCTCTGAAGGTATCAGAGGACCAGGTGTTGGGGTGGAGGAAACTACAGTTAGACCTACAGAACTTCAGTCAGAATATCAGACACGGTACCATCTTTAAACAGGTACGACATTCACAGAGGAATATCCAAATCACATAATTTAGTTCAATGACCATGTCGCTCTCCTCCAGGTTGAACTGAACATTTTCATATAAAAACTGAGAACATACAAACAAAACACCCTGTCTGTGAGAGTCAGTTTTTACTTATTTCGACACTGAAGAGGAATCATTGGAGAATCAGCTGAAACAAATATAATGGTGAACGTGAAATAAAACCAACAGGTTTCTTCAGCAGAGACCATCTTTACATGATTTTGGCATCTTAAGAGTCTTGAGTGCCTTCTTGAGTCCAAATCTCCACACATGCAATGTCTTCCTTCTTTAATTGTGAGCTATTATTTTAACGTAAAAGTAGTATAAAGGAAAAGGTAATATTGCGTAAGAGCCCAAGTTTGTCTAACGGTTGACGATGTGTATTCTCATGAGCCTTGAGTTTGTATTTCAATGCACAACATTTACGTTACTGAGTAGCAGCTTGTATATACAAAGCCAAATGGGCAGAGGCATGGACTATGGAAGATATGCTGAGATTGTTACAGTAAAGCACTAGAAGGTCAGAGGTCATCAGAGAACAATCATAGAAACACAACATGAGTCTCAAATACGATTCTGGAAGATGTTGCTTACATGTAACACTATAAGTCACGCGCGAACCGCGGGGCGACTCACTCGGTTTGATCTTTCCAGACACATATTCAAAAAACATAGTAGCGCCCACTGATCAGTCTAAACACCATTTCAACAGTCGAGTGACAACCAGAAGACACAAGCTAACAATCGTCTGACACTACAGTAGTAAGGTAGAAAACATCGTTTTGACGTCATATTGAATGGGAGAAAAAAAATAAGAAAATGAACAAAAGTTGTCCCTTGTACTGGAATGTGAAGTAAATCTCTCCACGATGCATTCAAACTTTGGCAGAGAAAACAGAGGTCATTCACTCGTTGTCCTCGTTGAGGTAAAAAACAACGCCCAATCTTTGTTACACATGCCCCGAGGCAACCAAAAAGACTAGAAACTAAATAACAGGCCAGCTGAAATTGGTCTTTTAAAGTAAAACGAACATCATGACGAATTAGAAAACAAATCAAACCGTATTTATACTTTCACAGACACGCATGAAGAGCCAACGCTTCTGTCTGAGTTTGGCTGGCTTGTCTTATCTACATGTAAGAGCCCAGAACATCAACCACAGACAAATTAATTCATCGCTAGTTTACAGTTAAAGATACTTCACCCATCTAGAATATGGCACGTTAAGAATTACATATGAGAAACACGCTCGAAAAGGACCTCACAGACACACACTCGTCACGTGGCGCCAAATACATTTTACTACTCGCACTTCTAAAACCATGTCACGTCATACGTCTCTAGGAGAGGGTGAAGTACCTTTTGGAGACGGATTAAAAAGTTGCTTGTGGTGCTTTTTGCGAGCTAGCAGCAAAGGAAACGGAAAAAGTTTGCGTTTGTGACTGAACGTCGTGGGTGTGGCCAACTGAGTCGTCGGCGGCCTGATTTGCAGTAAGAGAGTGGATAAATTGGTGTTGTATATGACAAGACAGTGGTAAATATTCTGAAAATATACATCGCTGAAAGAAACAGTATGGCGTCACCAAAAAAACGAAATATTTTGGCCTCGTAGCAATGCAGGTATACATTTTTTGTTTATATATATTTGTTTGCTATTTCAAAAAATATAAAGTTTTTGTCATAGTTTATATTATTGGCTTAGGTTATTAAATAAAAGTTTGTTAATCTTTTATTTCCCTTTTGTTTTAAAGTAACATGCTGCTTTTTAATATGGCAGTTTTACGTTTTTATAGGTCATCCATTTTGTGTCATGCACTCTTGTTGATTTCGTAACTTTACGAGTATCTACACGGCGTGAGCCAATTTGCTTCTTGTGAGTGAGGAGACCCCGATCAACCCCTGTACATAAATGAAGATGACGTCTGATTTACAACACGAGTATGGAACCCCACTTACTCATAAACGATATCGTAATCTGGCCTTCGCCTTTTTAACCAATCAGAGTAAGACAATCCTGTACACAGACAGAAGAGAAGCTGAACAGCCCTTAAGTCTCTCGTTCCATCCGTCTCGCTCGCTCTCTCTCTTTTAAAGAGTGAAAGTCCAAGTACCAGAGTAGTACACGAGAGTGCGCCCTCCTCGAGGACCCTCTAAAACTGATACCACTTCTTGTCTTTGCATTTCAGCATCATCTGTGGAGGGCAAAAAGGGAAAACAAAGAGTTTGAATAAGCACATGAAGATTTATTTGTATTTATATTTCGGTTTTCTCATTCTCTCGCTCTCCTACATACCTCGTGAGCGTGTTTAGAGAAGGTTTCGGCGCTGCTCATCATCAGAGCGGTCCTCTCCTCCAGCTCCCCCAGCCTCTGTCCTCTCTCGTCCAGGGCGATACGAGCTCGGGCCAGTTCCCCCACCACCCCGCCCGCTGCTGCCTTCATGCCCTCCATTCCACCCTGTCCAGGGATGTGCTGTGCCAGGCTGCGGGACCCCTTACCCGCTGATGCCTCGCCAACTACAGAACAAGAGGGACGAAGGGAAAAAAAGCAAGGTTGTTATTGTTATCTAAAACTACACTCTTTAAAATAAAGGTTCTTTATTGGAATTGACGTTCCATGAAGAATTTATATAAAATACATAGAACCTTTCCATTACACTAAAGGTTCTTTATAGTGAAAAAAGGTTCTTTTGATTATCAAAATGTTCTTCACACCATGAAAAATAGTGTTCTTTAAGGAACTGTTCACTGAAAGGTTCTTTGGGGAACTAAAAAGAAATTGTTCTTCTATGGTATTCTTCTATCCTTTTTGGAACCTTTATTTTTAAAAGGGTATAACTTTTCTTTTTTTTTTTAATAAAGCGATATAGAAATGTATTAAAAAACCTTTTTTAAATTAAGCAAAATTAAAAACATTTTTAATAAAAACTGAAAATATAAAAATAAAACGCTAATTCAAAATATTAATATATACTATAGTATATAAATAATAGTAAAATAACTCTAAAACAAGGGGTAGTGGGAAGATAGTAGATAGTCTGATTTACAGATTAAAACTAATTAGAAGATTTTTCAGATTAAAACTGTTCACATTGTCAATCTCATGGTCTCCTTCCTGTCTAAGTGGGCAGTTCTGAGCTCAAATGTGAACCAGACTTTATGTGATCTGGATCTGTGAGAATTTGACACAGAAATGATAAATAACTCCACTCACACAGCTCCTCTCGGTCGAAGGTTTGGGCGTTGCCGCCAAAAAAGCCCTTGAGAAAGCCACGGTTCTGTGCCTCAGGGGTCTCGATGGGTGTAAAGAGCTCCCCTAACATCTCCTGCAATTAATCGAGAATAGTAAATCAAAGTGTTGAATAAAGAAAAATCATAACAAATACTGCAACAAAAGCAATGGCAGCACAGTCAGTTAAAAAACCCACCAGCAGATGTCAGTACAGTTAAACATTTCACTATTTAAAATGGAAAGTTTTGACAAGAAAAACCTCTCTCTCTCTCTGTCTCTCTCTTTTGTGTGTTTGACAGAGACAGTTATAAAGAAACATAGTATGTGAATCATGTTTTATGCAATAATAAACAATTCAAACAGTTGAATGCAAATTGATTTTTTTTTCAATTTCTAATTAAATTTGGGCTAAATAAATCTTAATTTTAATAAAAAATAATGTAGAAGGAAGGAGATCAAAATCGCATTTGCAATGCACTAATGTTCAAAAATTTAGGGTCAGTTAATGTTTTTATTATTATTTAAATAAATAAATAAATAAATGAATATTTTATTCAGCAAGGATGCATTTAATTGATAAAAAGTAACAGTAAAAAATATTTACGTTAACAAAAGATGTATATTTCAAATGAATGCTGTTCTGTTGAACTTTCTTCTATTCATCTTTTCTATTCTATTCATTCTATACATCCTGACAAAAATATATCCACTCAAATAATAAGCACAACAGTTTTCATCATGCATAGGCCTAATTATAAGAAATGTTTCTTGAGCACCAAATCAGCATATTAGAATGATTTCTGAAGGATCATGTGACACTGAAGACTGGAGTATTGATGGAGAAAATTCAGCTTTGCTACCAAAGGAATGCATTACATTTAAAAAAATATATTAGGTAACACTTTACTTAAAAGGGGTGTGCATAAGACTGACATGACACCTTCAAAATCATGACATGACATGTCATGAATATGAAGGAGGTTTTATGCATGTTTATGACAACTGTCATTAAGTGTCATTCGCTCAATTATGACATTTTTAATGCAAATATGACATTGTTTGAGATGTCTTTGTTATGACACCTTGACATAAACCAATACATCGTAACCTGTCAGTGTCTTTGTCATGACAACTTGACATTACTAAGACAACACAACCTGTCATAAATATGTAATTAACATGACATAGCAGAATAATTATCAAACTTAAGGAACCACTTAGCTTTATGGGTTAACATTACATTAAACTGTCAGGTGGTTGGTTTTGACATTGGCTGTCAGGAGCCCATTATAACATTTTAATGACAAATTCAATTTGTACCAATTTAGTTGAGGTCAAGAAAAATATTAATGACACAGTTATAATGGGCTCATGACAGCCAATGTTAAAACCAACCACATGACAGTTTAATGTAATGTTAACCCATGAAGCTAAGTAGTTTATAAAGTTTGATAATTAATCTGCTGTGTCATGTTTATGACATATTTATGACAATTTATGTTGCCTTGATAATGTCAAGTTGTCATTACCAAGACACTGACAGGTTATGATGTATTGGTTTATGTCAAGTTGTCATAAAGACATCTCAAACAATGTCATATTTGCATTAAAAATGTCATAATTGAGCGAATGACACTTAATGACAGTTGTCATAAACATGCATAAAACCGCCTTCATATTCATGACATGTCATGTTAGTCTTATTATGCACACCCCTTCAAGTAAAGTGTTACCAAATATTAAAACAGTAAACCATTATTTTAAATGTGTACAATATTTCACAATATTACAGTTTTTACTTTATAGTGCGCATAAGAGACTTCTTTCAAAAACACAAATCCTACAGACCCCAAACTTTTTAACAGTAGTGTATTGCAGTTCGAACATTCTATGCATACAGAAATAGAAAGAATAGTATGGCATTATGCTATTTCCATCCTAACCAGACAGAGAGGGAACGACAGAGGGAGAGAAAGGACAGAATGACAACCTGTGTGGCAGAAATTACAGCCGAGATGCAGCAGGGCTCAGCTCAGCAGAGCTCAAAGCATCCATGACAAGCATGACATTTCACTTCAAAAGCCACCATCAGTATGCACACACACACACACACACACACACACACACACAAAAAGGCACAGCCACCTGTAGGTTGTCACACATCTCCTGGCTGTAAGTGATTCTCTGTATCTCTGTGGGGGAGCACAGATACAGCGCCTGTCCTCCGTTGGTGAAGCAGAATGTTCTGGCAATACGCATGTCCGTTAGCGGCAGGTAATTAACGTCTAGCAGAGGCCGTAAACTAGGAAGGCTGCAAAACATACACACATACAAGATAACAAACTTGGAAACTGCATTCCAATATCCTTTGTATAGAAAATGATAGTGAAAACTCAAATTTATAGTGAAGAATGAAGAAATTCATGCCTAAAATATCACACTGCACTGAAGGCAGGATTTAATATGAAGCCACCAAAAGCACCACGCAGCTGTTCTGTCTTGAGGATTGGAGTTTATTGAAGGATTGAGCTGGTTTCTGTAAACTGGATTAAACTGAAAATCAATACCAAAAGGTTTTGAGCCGGTATTAAAGGAATGTTGCAGGCTAAATATGAATTAAGCTCTATCGACGGAAACGGTCAAATTCTGTGGATTAACACAGACATTTTTACTCAACCCTCAGTTTGTGAAAACAAGAAAATGTTCTGTTTACAATAATGCACTTACAATAGAAAGGCGTTCTGTAGGCTTTAAAAGCTCATATTTCTAGCTAATGCACTTATCTTAATTATTCTGTACATAAATCTGTGGACTAACAAAAACAGTTTGCATTATCAGTGTAATCTCTGTGGTTAGATTTTAGATGTAAACAGATCATGTTACAGGATTTACATGGTCATAAAAGGGGTGAAAAAATGGATATAATAATAATACTTTTCATGTAAAAAGTTAAAATACTATTTTAATTTTAAAATTAATTCTATATTCCCCCTACTGCCCACGCCATGGATACAGTCAATAGAGCTTCCATTCAGTTTTAATAATTCTATTAATAGTAATAATAATTATGTCAATTACAAGGCCTTTACACTTGTCCCTCAGTTTGTAAAAACAGTAATACAATAATGGATATAATAAAACCAACAATAATAATAATTTATTTTCTATATTTTTTAAATTAATTCTATTTTATTTAAATTTTCCCATAAGCAATAGAGCTTAATATCAATTCAATTTGAACGATTCTGTCAATTACCATGGACAGACATGTTTAATAATTTCTGTTTTAGTGTCAATATTTGATCACCAATTAAGATATTAGAAACTTAAAATTGTAGCACTTTGCTTGAGGGACTAGAACCAGCAACCTTCTGGTTACCAGCCCTGAGGTCTACCAGCTACACCACAATTTCCAAATTTTAAAAAAAAAAGGGAAAGCAAACCTCAAAGTCATGATGTGTCCGTTGGCACAGAAGCAGGCCAGACAAACGCTGTTACAAACCGACACCACGTCGGCCCGCAGCACGAAGGATGACTCTGTGATGTTGTGTACATATAAACAGGCCTGGGTGGGCATTAGGAAGACCTTTGCCTGCTTCTCCGAACACACCACGGCTAAGTGACAGTCTCCACTGGCCTCTTGAGAAGATGAGGGCGAGAAGTTGACCAGTTTCCGCTTGCGGGGTCGATCTGGGTCACCTGGGGCTTGTTGGTCCCGCCACACCTCGTAGGGACTGTGGATAAGAGCGCCCCCAAAATCCAGAAAACTAAACCGCAGAATGGAGCCTTTCAGCATTAACACTGTGCCTAAGAGGGAAGAGAACAAAAACATGATAATATAGTGCATTAATGCCCGGCCACTTTTTCACTGGTGTTGGTTCCGAAAATATTTTTTCCATTCATTTTTCCCATAGGGATTTAAAAAGTCGTCTTTCAAGTTGTTATGAAATCGAAATTGACCCCATCTACTTTGTAAGCGCACATTACTAGTCTTGTGGTGAACAATTATCTGTGCAAGTTAATAAACAGACAAAATTTGTCTTGTAATCCAAGAACCAAGCCAACCATTTATGAGGTGAATCACAACATTTCAAATTTTGCATTTATTCAAGGCATTTGAAAAGTATTTGAAAATGTGTGATATTTAAGTACTTTGAGAGCATAGGGAGACCGAATTGAATGTGTAATTTGTGGTGCTTCATGTGAGTGGACATTCCCTGCAGAGCTAAAATCAAGTAATGCAAACAGATGGCTTCAACAAAAATGTACCGGCAAATAACAACCGCGGAGCTCACAACAGGTCTTTCTTTAAAGGTGTATAATTGATCAAAAATCTAATTCCCTAAGGAAAAAATGAAGGGAGTCTTTACTTCCGGAACCTGGCTGTTGAAAACTGTATAGGAATGTTGCATTCAGAGGCATTCAAGAATCAGACAAGGAAGAAATCAAGAGATACCAGTGGGGACCACAGTAACGGGGTCTTCCTGACGTTCCTGCTCATCCATAGGGATGGACATTGGGATGATAAGCACCAGGCCCAGACTTGTGCCCACCCACAGGCATGGCGTGGGCAGGGGGTCTGATTTACGCCCGTATGACTCCATAAACTGCAGGGTGGTTACGGCCTCTTTAGTCTCCCTGTCTATGCTGGAAACGCTAGAGCTCCGGGAACGGCTGAACGAGTTTTCTCGACTCTCTGAGAAAGGATGGAGAAGAGGAGAGAGAAAGAGAGGGTAGGGGAGAAGATAAATGTCAGGATAGAAGACAGACAGATGGATGAGTGGAAAAATTATAAAGAATAGTAGACAGTGAAAAGATAAAAGAAAAAGGGAAAAGATAGGAGAAGAATCCTTATGCTGTGAAAGTGGAGCACATGTGCGTTCAAAAGTACATTTAATCCAGATCAACCAGAAATTGAGTTATAAAGTGATACAGATGCACAGTTGCAAACAAATAATGTACACACAGGACAGTGTGGCACATACATATCTATATTGAGTGAACACATCTTAAAATTCTCCTTTTCACATGATCAGGCACGTCACAGATTAAATTTATATACACAGATAACACAGAACACACGCTCACCAATTTCAAACCCATTCAACATCTTTACCATCTATTTGACCTTGAATTACTTCCAAGTTCTTATCGACTGTATAATCATATTGCCAGGTCCACACATAAAAGTGTTTCTGCCTGATTTACACTACACTCAAGTATTTAAACTCTCATCTTAAACTGAAGAATGTCATGGAAAAAAACCCAGACAAAAAGAAAAAAAGAAAGAAAAGATTGTTATTGCAATACAATGTATATTAGGGTAATATACGACTGGTTGTTTTAATATCGTTGCTGTCATATCTTATGTGATATTCACTATCTTGACTTGATGTATTATGTCATGCATTACAAGAAAACAGAAAATCTTATATTAGAATTTGTGTGGTTTTAAATTGAGAATCTTGTTTATCCTGCAGGAAAAAAAAAACTGTATTGTGTTTACATATCATAAAAGCATAGAAATAAAATGCTGACAGACATTTGTCAATGTCAGAACATGGGTTTTTGTGTGTAGTGATGGAAGGCTCATTTTTGACTGTGGTATAAGCTATAAATTACAACATTTTAACTCTAAAACACAATATTACTCCATTTCTAAACTTCTGCTCCAGGGACATTCTTAGGAAAGGGTGTTGTTTATTTGCTACATGTGTCCCAGTGACTTACAACTATATGAGTAAATTAATATGGTACTTAAACATGGTACTGAATATTATTTAAAATATTAATTTCTTGGATGGAAAATAAATAAATGAATAATGTTTACCATTGGACTATTCTTTTCTTTATACAGGACATTCCTCTTTATGTTGTTAGATATACACTTTTATTAGCCTCAACAGTTCAACTCTTGTGACAAGAAAAAAAAAAATATATAGAGATCAAATTAAAATAAAGCACAGGAAAACTGACTAAAGATAATGTGGCGTGATGCAATGCTATTTGCTAGTTAAGACCATTATTTAAGATCTTTGCATTTAAACTAACCACATTCAGCATCAAACATTTTGAATGGTTGGCAAAAACATGCTTAAGGTTAGTAATAGTAAATGGATTAATAGAATGAGGTTTGAATGAATGAACAAACAAACAAACAAACAGACTTATTGTTTGGCACAAACAGCACTGTTTCTTGAGAATGTTCCTTCTGTGTTTTGGGGAAGGTCCACTTTCTCCCTTTATATGTCAATGAAGCATCATGGTCATGATAGCACACCTTAATATGTTCTGCGTACACTAAATTATCCCTCCCTTTGAATTCTTTCCATCACAGAAAGTAATTTAAGACTGACCTCACAACATTCACCTCTACATTGATGACAACATTAATGATAGATAATACTGACACGTCTGCAGAATCATAAGACCTCCTTAGACATTGACATACAGAAACGGTTTCCCTGATACAGGTTAAACCTTGCCTTGGACTGAACAGCGCGGTTAACTGTTTGTCACACATAGTCCTGGACTAGATTTAATCCGTGTCTTGGAGATGTCACAGTGCGTGGGATGGACAGACGACTTCAAGCTGACAACACAGCAGTGTGAAACACAAAGCAGACATCCTTATAATGTTCAGCTGCTAGAAGCTACGGTGCAAATCCAAACCTGAACATCATTGAACGTGACGAAAGAGGGGTTCTGACCAAGCGACTATGTGCCACAGGACGGGACGAAGTAAGACAGGACGCTACAGGGTGAGAGGTCCTTGTGACCCTCATAAAGCCCCTCCTTACCTCTCTCGCTCCAGGAGTAGGTGGTGATGTGATGCTCATCGTGAGAGTACATACTGACTCCGTGTAACTGCTGCAGCATGGCTCGTCGAGACGAATGACCTATCCATCGAACGCACATACGCACAACACCCCAACGGTCACAATCACAAACACGTAAATACAACCATACACGACCACCACATACAAAGTGACACGTACATACATACATACATACGCATGTCAAGACGTATACCAAAACACAAAGACACGACCAGAACATTACAGCGTACAGAGAGTGACAGAGGAGAGAAAGAGGAAGAGAAAACCGATAAACCAATATGCAAGAAAGAAAGAAATAACGAAAGACCTGACAGGTCGATTCCCCCCCCCCCCGAATACCTGCACACAACACTTTAGTAGATTGAATAGAAAACAACCTGAAAAAGCATCAGCAGAATGAAATCCTTTGGCTGTGAGAGTTGTGTCAAGGTTAGGATGCTTATAGCTGTGTGTGTTTGTGATCACAATCATAAAAGGGACAGTTCACTCAAAAATGAAAATTCTGTCATTTACTCACCCTCATGTCATTAGAAACCTGTTTATAATAGCTTCACAATACTAATTTAGTGTATTAGTGATAAAGAAGATCGGATAATTTTGCTGACTTGGGACTTTGAATCTTGTTCAGCAAAATGAACTAATCTTAAATCTTAAAGCCATTTATTCAATTGAGCAGAGTTATTAAAAATAATCAAAATGTTACATTTACGATAGCCAAAATTTCCCCAACATGTCTACTTAAGAATGATTCATTTACCACTCAACTGTGTCTTCTTGTCTGAGTCAATAATTTTTTTGTCATGTGGCAGCCAAATAGTCTGGAAGCTTTTTTGACTTTAGCTTTTCGCCTTAAAGCAGGACCTAACATATCAGGGTCACAGTTAAATATGATAGTCACGCTTATGATCCCGTTTCCTGTACGTCTGTCATGTGACATAAGAATGAATGACTCAGACCAGAAGACTCAAGAGGTGAACTAATCATTTCTATTTCGTATACAGGAGACAAAGCGATTATTTCACCTCCTAAGTCATAAACGCAAGGATGGTACGTATGCATGGTCACAAAATGATGATGAATGAATCACTCTCTGAGACAACTTGATACACTCCCAAGTCATATAAAAGAGTCATTAAAAATTGAAAGGACAGTTCATGTGCGAACCATCACTAACCGCATGTTAAATCCGATATGTCACGTGTCATTGTTTTCGGGTCCAAGCGCTCTATCAGATGCTAAAAGCAAACAACAAACAGTGCTAATATGTACTCACGTTGTGCTGTACTGAAAAATCATGATCCTATAACCAAAGACTTTTGATATATAAAGACGGTGCACTTGTATTACTATGAATGGGAGAAAGTGGAATAAGTCCCGCCTTTTAAATAAAAGAGGCAATCACCAACTGGTAAAGTCATCGTGTCACTGCAACTGTCATGATGCTGAGGTCGCTATAGAAACGGTCGCTTTGGCTGATCTAGCCTGAAAAATGCATTTTTTTATGATTTGAGACCATTGATTTATGAGACAGTCATTCAAAAATGAAATTTAATCGTAAGCTTGGTGGACAGCTTTGGAGAATTTGATGTTTCCCCATTCAAAGAGATAGGAGCTGCACTTGCATGACTGAAATAGCTGCGTGAGAGGCGTTTCAAAGAAGGATTTGTTGACATTTTTGTGGACATTTCTGGTCACTGTACGCTTTCGCATAAAGCAGCATGAACATTCTTCAGAATATCTTCTTTTATGTTTTATGGTTTGGAACGACATGAGGGTAATTAATGACAATTTCCATTTTTGTGTGAACCATCCCCTTGACACAGACCAAGACTGGACACCGATGTCAAACAGCATTCATTTCACAAACAATATATCTGAACGCAAATTGAACACAAAGTCACAAATCCAATCACACACTCTCGCACAGTGCAAAATGGTCACAAACGAAATCACATATATGTTTTGTGGGAAGACATGCAAATTGACCTTTTCTACTGACAGCACCTGTATCTGCGGGGACTGTGAACATAATTAGTCGTATCCATCCTGTTAGCCCGTTAGTGTGAATATTTCATGATAGAGACGGGTGAGAGAAAAGATCTGCTCGCTCGTTCTCTCTCTCTGGGACTCTTTTGCTGAGGTCATTGACTGTCAATCACTGCAGGGGAGCCAAATGACAATGACTGTTATTAGAAACACCAATAATGATCTCTTTCTGTGGGACAGGCACATATTTCTGTAGTTTTTCCCCCCCCTGATGGATACATCTGTGATTGTCTATTCTCTTCCTCTGTGTTTTTGGCTTGTTTATGTATGCATAAATTTTGCAATGTCCTATAGTCAGGGTAGTACCATATTTAATTTCTAACGGGAATGTGAACAAGGCTGTGAGGGATAGAAGTACAATGTGTTCAAAGGATTGTATTGTTGTTTAACAACATACTGATTGTTCAGCTGACAAAACAGCTTTCAAACAGACTTTAAGTACACGAAATCTCTGTTAGTTTAAGTTTTGAGTTGTGAAAATAAAATGTGATCTAGGATCATTTTACAGCACATATCCCTCACAGCCTCGTTTTTCATCTGTGTAAAATTAAATTTCAATTCAATTAAATTTCAAACCCTGACTAAGGTCTTTTACTATTGCGTTTGTGAATGAATAAGTGCTTTTAAACAGATATTTTAATTGAAAAAATCAGTTAACTCAACATAAAATGATACACATACTTCCTTTATGATGTTACCTGCAGAAAGTGCCCTTAAAAATCAATCAGTGAATGAATCTTTTTGGGGAATGGGATGTGTCAAGGCGTCACTGGGATAACTCAAAACTTCCAACCTCTTATTTATTATGATAAATTTCTGTAACTGTCCTTATTTTCTAACATTTTGCTTACATCAAGTGTGTGCGTCTTTCCACCCTTAATGGCTGTTTATATGTGACTACGTATCCCAGATTCCCGCAGCTCTCTCTTCCTGTAGCGTGTCTCATTACCACCGACCTGGCTCTCTTCGCTACTAATTGACCTTTAATTATCCCAGCGACCCCACTGCGGCACCACATGCCTGTTACCAAGCGATAGGGACGCACGCCACGAGTTGAGACCAAAGAAGCGGTAGGTAGTCCTCTAACGGACAATAACACTTCTCCAAGTGGGGAGAAAAAAAAGAAAGAAATGTGTCTATAACTGGACAGACACGGATTTATTTGAATTTCAAGACATTATTCAATTAAAAAATAAAAATAAATAAATAATTCAAGCTAAGTCTGTGCTGAAGGTTTCAGGGATGAATATTTCACTCGCAAAACTTCAGAATGCCAAGGTGGAAATAAAAAAGAGAGGAAAAAAAGGTGATGGGAAGGCGTTTTGACTAGATTGTGAGCAATCACATTATTTTTTTCTCAAAAATGAAATCAAATACAGATTATTAGGTTATAAAGGCAATAAAAGGGCACAGCGCGTCTTTCTGGGAAAGATCCAGACACTATGAAAACCTCATGAACCCTGTGACACTATTTGTACGCTGCCGTTCGACTTGGGCTGGTTGTCCTGGTTGGCGTCCTTCATGTAAACAGGATTATGGACACAGATGAAGGCACAGGAGGAGACGCTGTCTATCGCTGTGATTGGATTAGTGAATGACAGGAAGTCAGTGCCCAGTGAGGATATGATCTAAGTGATGCGTTAGCGCTCACGCTAATATGAACAAGACATCTGCTATAGGGACATATATGACTGACAAGGACAAAGAATTGACATGAGATAAAGTCATATCTCTCGCTCTCTCTCTCACACACACACTCTTTGTGGGGATATAGGCATTGGTGTCCATAGGCGTAACGATTTTTATAATGTACAAACTGTATTTTCTATCCCCTAAGCCTAACCCCACCCCTAAACCTAACTACCACAGAAAACTTTAAGCATTTTAAAAAAACACAATTTAGTATGTCTGTAAGTTCATTTCCCTCGTGGGGACCGCTGGCTGATCCCCACAATGTGGGGGATTTCAGGTTTTACTATCCTTCTGGGGACATGTAATATAGACCTCTACTCACACACTCCAACATTTAAACATGGCAGTGATAAACACAAACATTTAGACTCTGATTATGTGTTTTGTAGAAATGTGTCATGAAGCAACATAGTAGTGTTTGTCGAGTTGTTCATGCATTTCATTCTGGTAAAGTCCCCTCTAGTCGCATCAGTTCATTTCACGCTAAAAAGGATAGTCGAAGAAAAAGAAAGCCACAACCATGATCGTTTTGTAAACTCAAACCTAAGCTTCACAGTGACTGCCTAAATTCATTTTTTTTTTATTCACATCACCAACCCACCTGCCAAACGACTGTGTGTAGAGATAGTAATTAAAAGCATTAAAAACTAAAAGTATAATTAGGCTCACAGCAGTGTCTGCCTCGGCCTCCATGTTTGAAGCACAAATACAGTCTCAAACATAAAAGGGACAGAGGATCCCCAAAGCTTGAAAAGCAGAGTCGTTTCTGTGAGTCACACTTTGAAAGGTTTGTGCTGTTTTGTTTTACTTTTAAAATTACTTTTGAAAGGCTGATTGTTAAAATACTACTTCTTTCATCAACATTCATCCAATTCATCCTAATATTGACTTTAATCAGGATAAATGGGATTTAAGTTTGATTGAAGTTTATAACACAAACCTATTATGAGATCACAAAAACTTCAATTTCAGCAAGAATGCAGAATGGTAATTGGTGCATAAGATATTATTTTACCCATTTTCCACCAACAAGATCCTGCTTGGATACAAATAAATTGACAAATTGTCATTCCAAATATATATGACTTCCTCCTTTCCCTGAAACACAAAAGGAGCCGCATTCACAATTCACTTTCATTGTATTAAACAAAGATGCAATGGAAGTGAATGGTGACTGAATGGAACGCCAGTATCAACGATTCTGCCTAACATCCCCTTTTATGTTCCACAGAAGAAAGAATGGATTGGAAACCACACAAGGGTGAGTAAATGATGACAGAATTTTTATTTTTGAGGGTACTATCCTATGTAGGATACTATGCTGAGAGAGGTCTTCAGATGCCACTCGGTGTAAAAGGGGTAAGCTTCCTATATGGCATGATAGGGCTTTAGTAATCACCAATCTCTCCAACAGAGTGGAAAACAAAACAATGAACCCAAAGAAAAGGCAGTGAGATAAGAGCGTCAGAAAACACAGCAATAAAATCCCATACCCTCCTTCTTGTATCCCTTGATGAGTGTTAAACATGCAGAAGGCAGACAAGGCAGTGGAGGAATACAGGAATAAAGGGTAGACGGATTAAGGGGATAAAGGAGTTGGAGAACAAGCACACACCTTCGGTGAGGGAGGACACAGGCAAAGAGACCTCCATGCATGCGGCGGACTGGGCCTTGCGGAAGGGCGGTCGGCCGGGCCCCCTGCGGGCAAGGCGTGGCCCTTCAGGGCCCCCCGGGACTCTGGCCCTCCCAGATGGACAGGGCTGGGAGGTGGGGCTAGTGCAATGTCCATTCACATGATCTGTAACAACGGGCATAGCATTAGCAAGAAACCCAACTGAGATTAGAGAGAGAAGAGTGTCTGTGAGAGAGAGTGGTGAAGAGGGCAGTGGGATGAAAACAATACGGCTGCAAAGGAAAGCAGTAAGAGGAAGCGGTCACATAATAGCAGCTTTAAGCAGCCAAAAATCATTTCTATTTGAAAGGGAAGAAAGATGGGACAAGAATTGAGGGAAAAAGTGAAAGGAAAATGCAAAAGGAAGGGAAAAGTAAAAGAGGAACAAGGAAAATGGAAAGGAAAGAGAAAAGGAACAGGAAAAAGAAGGGAAAAGTCAAAAGGGAAAATTAAAAGGGAAAAGGCAATGGTTGTTGTTTAAAAAGGTAAGCATTCAAAGAGGCTTTCTCATCCCTTCTCGGCTCAGACACTTGAAAGAATGAAGGTGGAGGACTTTATTTGACAGAAAAACAGAAGCTTCCATCTGCAGTCTGTTTGTGCAGGAAGTTGAGGGAGGTCTAGCTGAGTATGCAGAAACAGACCCAGATCCAAACTCCCAGAATCTAAAACAGCACATTATTCAGCAGCACCTCCAACACACCTGGATCAAAGTCTTACTAGCATCTACCTGTAGCCAGAACCTCTCAGATGGATGAACCTCTCACAGTACCTTCTTGATTTTGACTGACTATTTTGACATTCTAGCTGTATATTTTCACTCTCCCTCCCTCTATTTTATAGCTATCAATCAATTTCATGCCAACGCAGCCAACCAGATCCAGTCTGCCTGCTGTCATTTCATATCAGTGGGATTTCTACTCAGTCATTTTGATATCGCACAGCAGACTTGGAAACCAAAACTTTGACACTGACTCATGATGAAACAAAGCACTATTAAGAACACCATCTGCAGTAAATTTGTGAACCTTAAAGACTACATTTGTTATTTTATTTTTTTTATGACTTTGTTGTAAAAGTTATACACTAACGTTCAACATTTTGGGGTCAGAAAGATTTGTAAAAAATAAATAAATACTTTTATTCAGCAAGGACGCATTCATTTGATAAAAAATAAATAAAAAAAAGGACAGTAAAGTAATTTATAATAGCTGCTTTTCCACCGACGGGCCAAACCACGCTCTTTACTTAACTGTTCCATTCCGTGCCGGTTTCATTTTCCACTGTGGGGCTGATAACGGCCACTCTTTGGAATGTAATACAAATGTGTCAGTCATTGCCTTGGTAATGCAACGGTTTACTGATGATATGAGATGTAAATGGCAACCGCGTTATGGAGGACTATCAGATATTTCTTTTAATTTTATTATTAATTTGTGTTTACGTCACTTAAATAGCGTGATTAGTCAGCAACAGAGAAACTGGTAGCTACATGCATTCTACACTACACGCATTCTACCAGCACGGTTAGCTAACCATACTGAGACTTCCGGGCCAAGAACGGTTTGTTATCATGTCATGCCATACCAGGCTTAAGTGGAAACACAACTGAACCGTTCCTTAACTTTCTTAGAACCGTTCGGCCCGACTTTTTAACACTGCAAATGTTTCTTGAGCAGCAAATCAGCATATTAGAATGATTTTTGAAGGTGACTGAAGACTGGAGTAATGATACTAAAAATTCAGCTTTGTCGTCAGAGGAATAAATTACATTGCATAGAAAGCAGTTAATTTAATTCTAATAAGAAAATAAATGCAGCTTTGGTGAGCATAAGAGACCCCAAAGTTATGAACAGTACTTCTATGCTATTTTGTAGCAATTTTTGTTACGTCATTAAACTCGTGAAACTAACTAAAATCCATCTTAAGATGGTAATATCTATCAATTAATTTTCCTGCAAGACTGATTTTCTGTTGATGACGTTTAGAGAACACCATCTTCATGAGAAGAGGCAGGATGAGAAAGCCCAAAACATGGAGCCCAGTCCGCAGACATCTGTTTTCCCTGGCCTGCACTAGGGTCAATGTTTCTAAATGGGCCCATGACAATGAAAAAATCCAAATCGAGGGTTTAGGACAGTAAAAAATAATGAGGAAGCCCCAGTGCATTCAAGGGGAGACAGTTCTACAGCACAAAACTACATAGAGCGAATCCAACCAATACCTCTAGACATCCACACACAAACTCTCTATCTCAGCCTCATACACATTCAGTACATTACACTCACACAGCACTTATAAATTGGCTTCTAATAATAAGCATTGATTTTTATGTCCTTTTTCTGTTTTTATGACCTAAACCTTCCAAGATATTTTCAAATTACAAAATGACAAGACTCTACTGTGCTTTCAAAATTCAACTATTTTTCAAGCACAAATCTAAACCTTCGAGGATTAGAAACAAGTGTAATTATTCAGGGCCCAGGCGGTCTATTTTCCATTGTAATGCTGCAAAGCTTGACCTGTTGAAGGAACACTTTCATTATTACACATTAGGTCATGTTTGGCACAAGAAATTGGAAAGGAAATTGTTCAGCCCTCAGAAAAAATGTGTGTTAGTCACAGCCTAGCATGAAACAAAAAGCCAGACAAGAGGAAAGAAAAAGGAAAAGAGAACAAGGATAGATACTCAGCGAAAGAGACAGAGTGAGACAATTCGAACTATATCCATAAAAGGCTGAAGAATGATCCAAGTCACGATGACACAAGCTCGCTTGCAGAGAATGAGCTCATTACATTAGTGCATGTCGTTCAGAGGTAGAGGATGGTCCAATCACAAATGAGCAGGCTTTTATAGAGTTAGAGAATGGTCCAATAGGGTTAGAGCATGTTCTGAGGTATAGAATGACCCAATTACAATGGAGCAAGGCCGTTTAGACGTAAATGATGAATCAGTCGCGAAAAAGCGAGATTTCAGAGTGATACCTTTCTCAACTTAAGAATGATTATGTTGAACAAACCACCTTTGTAAACACTTGCAAAATGTACATTGAGAAGCATTTTTTATTAAAAGGTCAAACGCAGAAATGTGAGGGAAATTTTGCGCTACTTCATGAATTCAAATGAGAAGAAAGTGAAAGAATAGAAAAAATGCATTAAAAATGAACTTTTAAATGCAAAGACGAGGGTCTTCATCATGTCATTCTCAACAGGATGGAAACAGAGAAAGTTGATGAATCGAAGGCAAGAATAAAGAAAAAGAACTGCTCGCTTTCGGCCTACCGTACCAAGATCAGTCTTAAGATCTGTGGGTAGACTTAACTTTCTGCCTGGTCCCTTGACTGAAACAAAACAAAATAGGACAGGAAGGAGAAATTAATCCATTTAAGAAACCAAAACAAAAGGCAAAAGATGCAGAGGTCAAGAAAATAATGAGACCAGCTCAAATTAAAATTGAAAAAAAGAAAAGAAAAGGAAAATCATTTAGTGTAAAACATGCAGGTGTACACACTTCCCAGCAAGCAATTTTGCATTTAAAAGACGTCTAATAGCCGTCCAAACACAGCCCTGACATCTAGGCTAAAACAAGGCAAAATTTGGGCTGTCAGTGAAAATGTAATAGTCGTCTAACCATAGCCTAAAAATAGACGCAAAGGCTACGCATAGAACATGTCAAAGAAATGAAACCAAACACCTTTTAATCACTGTTGACTTTGCTAACATGATGGAATACCATACATCTCTCAAGTTATTTAGGCAAAAACAACATGTAACAAATTCAAGGTTTTTTTGGCTGGAAGTTGGTTACTCATAGCCAAACTATATCGAGTCTATAGTTAACCGAGACTGTGAAATGACGGCTATTGCTTGCTGGGATGTGACGTTTCATTCGACAGTCATGCTCGATCGTATACTGCCACCAGACAAACAGATTCATCTGTCCTTGTCTTTACATAAGTAAACGCACTCATGCAGAAAGCATCTAAGCACAAACACATAAAACAATAAATCATGATCCATTTTTATTTCCTCCGATTTTGATAGGGAAACCTCATGAATTGATTCAAATAATTGCAACAAATGCAAGAATAGAATGTAGGATCTATTGTACTGTATTGAACAGAAACAACAAAACCATGCAGAAACCATTCACATATGTACATGCACACAATTGGCAAAACATAACACACAAAAAGGTTCAAAATAAAGTGTAAAGAGATAAATAAAAGCAAGGTCAACATTTTGCAAGCATTTTGCACCGCAAAGGTTAGAGTGTACACTGAGCTGAATGTCAAGAACAATATAAGTATGGCAAGAAATGGGATTTAACAGAAGATTTAAAAAATATAGATTAAAGTACTAATTCAACACCAGTTCCCATTGTTATGCAGCCAAATAAATTTAATAGCCAGGAATCTTATTAATCTCAAATTCTCTATTTCAATTATGTACTCTGTCCAGAACGCTAAAACACACTGAGCAGAATACTTTCCAAGATTACTCTCTTCCTTAGTATCAGTTCAATTAAATGTTTTTAAAAGTAGGGTGTGATTTTAGAATGTCATTTTCAGAATGATGCTAATGCTTTTCCACTTATGGACTCCATGTAATGGTTTGATGAATGCAATTTGCTTTCCTTTTAAACCAAGAAGGTCTATAATAATCTGGAGAAAGCCACCCATTAGCACTCCCATTCATCTTGGCTGGAGCAAGGCCCCCGTTTCACACTTTTAAAGGTAGGGTATGCAATTTCGGAGAGGCTAGCAATAGCAAGCTAGCTTTGAAAGCAAATGACCCCACCCTTCCTTTAGAGTGCTTTCCAAAGCCACGTCTCCTCCAAAACAAATAAATGCACACAGCAGAGTCTGCAAAGCGTCATGAGACGAGAGACGGCAAAAAAATTAAACGTAAACAACTTACAGAGCTCTTATTCGTACCACCTGACTGCTGCAGATTCATTTTGCCGTTCATAGTGACATAGAAAAGCAAAAATTTGAGTCTGAGGACGTGGACAGCTCCGGGTACGTCACGGGTTGCCATATCGTAATTGCGGTTATGACATGTGTCATAACTGGTGTGAACCCAGCATAAGCTCATTGTTTTGGTTTAGGAGGTTTTGGTTTTCGATTTTCAGTATATCCGGGATATCCTAACCCTAACCAGTATAACTTTATATGATGCTTGCAAACATTTTTACATTTCATTTTGAATATAAGATGATTTTTAACCAGCCAAACCTTGACCTCATGGTGCTGACATTTCCTAGTAAAGAAGGAAGATGAAATGGGTCATATCAAAAGACTTTTTTTTTTTTAGGATTTGGACTAAAAGCAACAAAATTCCAATTTTGATTTCACTGGTCTTTAAAACACTTGATTAAACCTCAGATATTAGGAACACAAAAAATAGTTAAATATAACAAGCTCTACTTAAAAATATATAATTTCATCCTAAATAGATGGAGCAGTATTATTCTCTCTCTCTCCCACTCTTCTTCCAGGGATGTGGAAATGGGTGAGATTTAAGAGGCAGACAAAGCGGAAATTGCTCCTGGAAATAGCAGTAATTAAAATTCCAGGATCAATAACCTGTGCCTTAGATGTGGAATCCTTCCCATTACTCTTAAAGCTGATAAGATCAGTCTGAACACATGTGCAGGTGTGTAAACATGAAAGACAGATCGAGATGAGGTGTGGACTACCTATGTTGATAGAAGTACATTAAATTCATTTTGCAAGCTTAATTATCTGCGCGCGTGTGTGTGTGTGTGTGAGAGAGAGAGAGAGAGTATAAAACCGTCTGTCTGAATAAACACATGTTGGACATCTTTGGTTATTGTTATCCAGCGGCACAGCTAAAATGGCAAACATAACAGCTGGCATCCATTGATTTCAACATCAGGCCTCAAGTGGCCACACTGTTTCATTGTTTTTCTTTCCATGGCACAATTTCAGGAGTTGTTTAGCTGCTCGTTAGAATGTTCAGAACACCATAGCTTCAATCCCGTCAACTCCTCTGTGAGCCTGACTGAAATGAACGGTAATTTGTGACTGTTTTTGGAATGTTCACAAAAAAATGTCTTCTGCTATCCTCACTGCAATTTGCATGAATTACCGACTCCTTTGCTTTCAGCTCAGGTCATTTTCCACTAATTCATAGAGGCGGATATACGTCAGGAGTAAAGATGCAGACGCCAGACTCTACAATGAATTCAAAGGAATTTCATTTCAGAAACATGCAATAGCATTTTTGAGCCTCAACGTTGTTTTTGCTTAAAGGGTAACTAAACCCCAAAACAACTTTTTTTACTTATTGACCTGTAAGACTGGGGCTTTATTAGTGCTGTTCATTGATTCGAGTACATTTTTTGACATTTGGGTATAAAGTGTTTTAATTCTACAATAGGGTGTAAAAACGTCTGAGTGCTGCCCTCTTCAGGTTGAACGGTGGCTACTGCAGTTGAATTTTCCTATTGGAAGTTGTGGTGCTGCGTCACGTAAGCAGGCACCAGCTCACCACGCCCTTGGTACGAGCTCACCACGCCCTTGGCAGAGGCTCCTGGTATAAAAACATCTTGTTCCACCAAAACCACTGTAGCTAGTCAGGAGTTGGAATTGAGAGTATTGAAAACGATCAGGATAGCGTATATTAACATCTAGTTAGCATAGCATTTATATAGTTATTTAGATTACTTTGTGTAGCCTTGGTAGTTAATTAGCATAGTATTGTTAGAAGCATAGTTATTTGGTAGCATAGTTTTGCATCAGTTAGGATAGCTTCAAGTTAGCGTAGATTTTTAGCATTAGCTTTATCTGTATTTAGTACAGTGGTTAGGATGGGACGTAAGTGCAGTGTTGCTGGTTGCAACAGCATTGCTCGCGCTGAAAAGCGACGCAGTGCCAAACGCAGCACCTCCTGCATGCACTCCACCACAGCGGCGTCTTGATGTGAGTGAGCAGCATATATTTTTAATCACAATTTATGTTCCTTCCAATTAGGCTAAAGTTAACCCTCTGGGGGCAGCAAAAACGACTTAAAATACTCCGTCATTTATGGTCATACAGACTTAAGAAATTTGAAAAAATAAACTGTGAAATGTCTTACAATCGAAACAAAACATTTAGTAGGGAGGTTAAGTGACTTTTGACTTCAAGTCATGATGCAAAGGTCCCCTTTGGTATGGAAGTACCTTAGGGCCATAGAAATAAATTTATCCTAAGACACAAGTGAGATCACATTTTGTATCTTATATACGCACATTTTTTAAAAATGGCCACCGACCATACTTGAGAGGCCCATATCTTTGCTTCTGTTATAGCTATAATGACACATTTGGTATCAACGGGTACATTTTTGTGGTCAAGGAGTCCAATAAAATAGGTTCCAAGACTAAAAAACAATAATGTTGTCCTTAACATGACAATTGGAGGTGAAGTATGCAATTTTTTTATTAAAAAACGCATGCCAAACACACAGTCCATTCACAACTTAATAATTTCTTCGTTTAGGTCTGCTTCGCATGCGCCCTTTACAGCACTGGCTGAAGACGTGGGTCCTGCATCGAGCATGGGCATCCGGTCGATTACGTCTCAGGGTAACTAAGAACTGTGTCACAGCTCTGGAGCCCTGGAAGGCGGTCGACTGGTATCAGACAGGTGTAAACCTGGGAGTAATCTCTAAACTGATAGTGGTTTCGACAGACGCCTCCAATTCGGGCTGGGGCGCCCTCTATGAGGGCAGACCGACTTTTGGCCTGTGGTCAAGCCAAGAAAAGAGCTTGCACATAAACTGTCTAGAGATGAAGGCGGTCGAGAACGCCTTGCGGTTCTTCCTTCCCCTTCTAAAGGGCCACCATGTCCTTGTCCGCACGGACAACATGTCAGTGGTTTCCTACATAAATCGCCAGGGCAGTCTGAGATCACGGAACCTTCATGCACTGGCAGAACGCATCCTTGTATGGGTTCAGCGCCCATCACTGGCCCAGCCCATCACTGGCGGCTGGGCCGCCCATCACTGGCCCAGCCGCCCTCTCTATGCTTTCCCTCCGATCATGCTGTTACCACAGGTAATCAAGCCTATAAGGGAGAACGGTTCCTGTGTACTTCTAGTAGCTCCGTTCTGGCCGAACCAAGTTTGGTTTCCGGAGCTGATGCAGCTTCAGAGCTTGCCTCCGTGGCCTGTCCCGTTGAGGAGAGATCTCCTCTCACAGGCCGGGGGTACGATTTGGCACCCACAACCCGAGCTTTGGGCTCTGCATGTGTGGGCCATCAACGGGTACCCGTCAGTCTCCCCGACGGAGTGTTAAACACGATTACGCAAGCTAGAGCGCCCTCTACTAGACGGCCTTATGCTTCCAAGTGGTCAGTGTTCTCAGGTTGGTGCTCAGCTCGCAACCTGGATCCACAAGATTGTGGGGTGTTGGAGGTTCTCTCCTTCCTACAGGAGCTCTTGGATAAGGGTAGATCCCCATCCATGCTCAAGGTATATGTGGCGGCTATTGCTGCGTTTGTCAAACATTCGCATGGCCAGTCACTGGGTAGGAACGACCTTGTAGTCCGCTTCCTCAGGGGAGCTAGAAGGATGAACCCTCCTCGCCCCCCCTCGGACCTTTCCTTGGTCCTGGAGGCCATGAAGGGTGCCCCTTTCGAACCTCTACAGTCTGTGGACCTTAAGTATCTCTCATTGAAAACCGCCTTTCTGGTGGCTATCGCCTCAGTCAAGCGGGTGGGTGACTTACACGCACTTTCTGTTTGCGGGTCGTGCCTTGAGTTTGGGCCTAATGACTCCAAGGTCATCCTCAAACCAAGACATGATTATGTCCCCAAAGTACTTGCCACTCCTTTCAGAGCACAAGTCTCTGTGGATCTGACAGCGAGTCTGACATTCTCTCGTCACAGGCGATTTTTGAGATTCGCCTTCGAGGGCCAGGCATATCAATACACAGTCCTACCGTTCGGCCTGTCCCTGGCATCCTGTATATTATGATGTGCATGGACGCGGCTCTCGCGCCCCTGAAACTTCAGGGCATGCGAGCTTTGAACTATTTGGACGATCGGCTGATTCTAGCTCGATCTCATTCAGAGCTCATAGAACACAGGACCATATTACTCGAACACCTCGAGAATCTTGGTCTCATAGTCAATTGGGCGAAGAGCTCGATGTCCCCCAGCCAGGAAATATCCTTTCTGGGCACAGAGCTGAACTCGCTGTCAATGACAGCGCGACTATTGCCAGAGCGCATACTGAACATTGCGGCACTATAGTCCCGCTCAAGAGATTTCAGAAAATGCTGGGCCTTATGGCCTCATCATCATCAGTACTCCAGCTGGGTCTGCTGCGCATGCGCCCACTGCAGTGGTGGCTCAAGCTTGGGCCTCCGATCTGTTTCGCCTCAGGGTCAATCAGAAATGCGTCGCAGCTCTGAAACCTTGGAAGACGACCGACTGGTACTGGTACCACCGCCTCTTCAATCTGACATTCTCTCTTCGGATCTGACAGTGAGTCTGACGTGAATCTCCTTTGCCTGGTTAGGGCCCTTAGAATTTACGTGGAACGTTCGGCTGCTTTCAGACGGTCAGGACAGCTATTTGTTTCGTTTGGTGGCCGATCTAAAGGTCTAGCTGCCTCGAAACATAGCCTTTCCAGGTGGATAGTGGACGCTATCTCACTGGCTTATACATCCATTCCCAATGTCGGCTTTTTATATCCCCATATCATATGAACTCAGGGCGCTCGCCCTTGGGTCAGTGTTGTGGTAGATTTAGCACGCACAGCGTTTTAAATTGGATTCCCGTAGCGTAAGCTAGCTTACGCAACACGAGAGTACTCTCGTAAGAGAACGTCACGGTTACTAACGTAACCTCGGTTCTCTCTAGAAGAGGGAATGAGTGTTGCGTAACCCTGCCGTGCTTGTGCTACCATCTGGTTTCGCTTCAGTCGATGAAAACCAAGGAGCATCTTATCGAGCTCTGGCTTATATAGGCATAAGCCACGCCCATTCGCCCACACGCCCACTCATTGGTGCTTATGTCACGAGCAGTGCCTCGATAGGTTGCAGCAGTTGCCGCATAGCATCCAATAGGCGCGCGAGCTGCCTCGCCTAGGTCTGCTAGCTGCAGCAAGTGTGTTTTAAATTAATACAAATTATAAGGATAATTTTTGGCTTCAGTATTCTCGAGAAAAGAGGTTTTCCCTCTAAGGTTTTTTTTCCATAGTCAACTAGCTAGCTATTTATTAGTTATCTAACATTAAAACATTTTTCTATTTAATGAGAAAGTCATACGAACCTCAAAGTGTTAACCTGTCACCTCTGACCTTCAACAGCTGTCACAGCTCCTGGTGCAGATGGGATGTGTTGTTGCAGGAACTGATATGCTATAGGCTACTCCTGACTGGTCGAAATCTCATGCTACTTAGGACAAATGTATTGTACAGAAGTAGCTGCACTGCTTAAATACAAAATTAAAGTTTTTGAACGAAAAGATAAGTAAAGTCACTCTGATGACAATTTTTATGTGAAATGTGCATATTTACCCCCAATTGTCATGGTATGGGGAAAATTATTATTATTTTTAAACTTGAAACCAATTTTATTGGATTCCTTGACCCCAAAAATGTACACTTTGACACCAAATTTGTCATTATAGCGATAACAGAAGCAAAGATATGGGCTCTAGAGTATTTTCGGCGCATTGGCGGGCATTTTTGAAAAAACATGTTTATTTCTGATACAAAGTGTGATCTCACTTGTGTCTTGGGATAAATTTATTTGTATGACCCTAAGGTACTTCCATACCAAAGGAGACCTTTGCATCATGACTTGAAGTCAAAGGCCTATTTTTTGGGCTTAACCTCCCTACTAATTGTGCCTTTGTAAAATAAAGAAAATAAACCGGGTATGCTTTCTGCCTCTCTGTCTCAGTGAACTTTTTTTCTGGAGCACGTCTCTAAAATTAAACAAAACTCAGCGAATACTAGTCACACAGGTATAAGCAATATATCTTTATAAACATTTACCTCTCTGCTATTAAATTATCTAATTCAAAACGAAAACAAATATTCTCTGTTTATGTAATCTGTATGAAAAGATAGAGATGTCAGTCGTTCTCATGGCAACTCATTATCTGCTAATGTAAACATGCCTACAGAGAGCGCACGCTATTGAAACGCGGGTCTCAGATGCACGCCCCGTCAGCCCCGCCCTCGGTTCGTCCCCTCTGTCTCCGCTGGGCTCTGCCCACTTTTCCAGCATTTTTCAAATATTGCCAGTGGGTCTGACCAAGTTTCCCTTTAAATACAAAGGCAAATCTTGCATTTTACTCTCTTGTAAGCCTTTCATCAAAAATATATTCATTTACTTCTGTCTGGCAAAAGAATATGCCACTAATTAGCATCGCCAATTTGGTGACCAAGTAGTTGTTGTTTTAAACATTTTAAAATGAGCCAACACTTAAGGCCATTCACATGCAGCACATTTACAAAAGTGAACAAAAGCATTATTAGCATAGATGTAATTTTCATGCTTGTAGCCATTCTCCCTGCCATGCTCTCAAAGCTTTGCAGTCTGGCACATTTGTGTAGCGTTTGCATCACATAAATCCATTTTACATTAGTTAAATAACTATTGTTTAGGCAATCAGTCTATAGTAGGCATACATAGCATAAAGCTGCTAATGCTAGTCATTCCAAAATTTCACCTAGGACAACTTTGCACCAAACCAACTAACTATAAGTTTAAATTGTAGGTATTTGCTATGCCTTCCATAACTTTTAGAAAACAGATTACAGATTAAACAATTACCTACATGCGGAGTACTAGTCATTAAAATATAGATTAATCAGTGAATGAATTCGATTTCAAGATGATATTCTTAATGTCTACAAACACATTAGCATGTGTGATAGCAAAAAAACTAGCATGTTCTCAACAACACACATGAACAACTGAAGCCCTGTTGGGGTCTAAATAAAACCAATAAAAAAAAGATTCAGGGTTACTGGACATCAACGATCAACGCTCCGTCTGTGCTAGTCACAATATCACCCCTCTCGTAAACACACATAACACACTACTTACTACCATGCCCCAATCACACACATGCCTACAATAGCCCCACGTGAAGCACACTTACACATACACACATTCACACTCACACACACCTACACCTCAGGAGCACAGAACGTGGCACTATGAGCGTGAGGCTACATCTACTGCAGCATGCAACCCCCAAAAACAAACACACCCACACACACGCAGATTCAAACGTTGAAGCACATGAGCCGCGGGCTTGGTGCGTGTGGGTGGTTTTAAGGGTCTGGACACATTCTTACCATTGTCCAACAGGTAAAAAACAGGACTGTAGTGGCAGGACCGGAGGTTGGACACAGGTTCCCCTGTGCCTCGAGGGTCATTATGGAGGGAAGGGGAGTAGGGTGCTGGAAATCAAAGATCACACAGTCATTGTCACATTCTAGGCTAAATCACAGAGCCAAACAGCTTGTTACTATAGGACATTAGGATTTATAATAGGAGGTTGTAGAGGGATGCTAAAACAGGAGAAAATCATACACACAATATTTTTAAAAATCTGCTATTGTCACAACTCAAACACATTATGGACCCTCACCAAGGCCAAATCTGGTCTCAAATTCCTCTTTATTTTAAAAAAAAAGTTAATGCCAAAAGCAGACACTATTTTTCTAATGTCAAACGTTGTATCTAGAGTACTTCACAAACTTCACACACTTTCCAAAATCTAACAGTAACAACAACAAAATTACAGTTCCATAAGGACCACTATTGTCAAAGATGATTGACAATTAGCATACATTTTGGATTGTGGTATGGTTCTGTTCTGTGCAAGAACTCCAAGCCCATCCATGCAGCCTAGCACAGGTAAGAGCAGGGAGAGCAACGTGATTTTGAATCTGTTAAGAGACTGATATGATGAAAAAATGAGAGCTTTTCGTCTCTAATTTGAGAAATCTTATAGGCATGCCCTTGGTAGAATTGAGGAGCACCAGATGTGTTTTCATTTGCAGATGTTTCAGCGCACACAAGTCTTCATCAGTTGTAGAACGGTGGAGATTCCCCCTGCATTTAACCTCATCACACAATTCATAAGAAGACCCACTGCAGGTGTCGACCTGACAACATAAATCATGATTGCTGTGTGAATTGAGACCAAACTGCAGAGGGTAAAGATGAAAAAACAGTGTTGTGAGAGTCTGACAAGCGTATCGCAGGCCTCCTGGTTATTCTACTTTTACATTAATGGCCTTCCTCAGTCCTTTCTTGAACAATTTGCCCTCCCTGTCCGAAAACTTCACATTGCTCTCTTCTGATTCTTGCCTTTTATAGATCAAAGCCTCAGAAGTTTCCAGTGTTTCACCCATCTGTGCAATGGCATCAGCTTGTAAAATTTCTCAAGTGTAGGCAAATTATTTTGCAATACAAACATACTAAGATACTAAAATCCGATACATCAGTGCTTCCTTAAACCAGTCCACGCTTCTGTTTCCTGTCAGCTGTGTGTGAGAATCAACAACCAGTAGACAAAACTAATAACCAGTTAACTCTTTTTAAAACTTAAAACTATTTGTTTTAAGAAAATAGAAATACAACTGGTTTTGCAGAGGTGCAAAAATCTCCTTTTAATCAGAGCAGTGAAAACAGAGAAAAGTAAAATGTGACGACATAGCTCTAGTATAAAATACTGGTATCTAAAAACAGGGCTATGACAATATGTGGAGTAACTCTCAAATAATTAATTTTTCATGAATAGCGAATAGTAAATCATAATTTAAGCGTTTTTCCAGTCTAAAAATTGCCACGAGCCATCATGTCACCACAAATGTAACATTAAAATATGTGTTATGTAGCACAAACCAAATACTAATTTAGAATTTCAAGTTTTGGAGTCAGTAAGACTGTCTTGGAAGAAATTAAAGGTAGGGTAGGCAACTTCAGAAAGGCTAGCAATAGCAAGCTAACTTTGAAAGCATAAGATCCCACCGCTCCTTCACAGTGCTCTCCAAAGCCACGTCTCCTCCAAAACACATGAACACGCACAGCCAGAGCAGAGTCTGCCAAGCGTCACGAAAGACGGCTTTAAATGACCTCATATCTCAAAGCACGTAACATTACAATAATAATAAATGTAAAGAACTTAAAGAGCACAACGTCATGGGTTGCCATCTCTTAACTATGCTAATTATGACATGGTGTGAATGCAGCATACGCTCGTTGTTTTGGATCATGAGGAACTGTAAAAGGTGGCTGCTGTTTGTTTGCAATGCTCGTTGACTGTCTGTCTGGAACTCTGCATAGCCTCATGGAACACGCTGATAACGTATGATGTCTGGGCGAGCAGGGTGTGCAGACATGCAATGATGCAATGATTGGTCGACATTTTTTAGTCCTAAGACTTCCACAGAAGATTACCATTTCTATTATTGATTGCTATCAGGACATAAAGAAAGTTTCAACAAAAACAGTATAACAAACAGTGTTCATGAAAAACATTGCTTACCCTACATTAAATACTTAACAAGGATGCATTAAATTGATCAGTATAAAGATATATAAAGTCAAGTGACAGCAAAGACATTTATCCTGATACAAAATATTTCTATTTCAAATAAATAACGTTCTTCAAACTTTCTATTCATTAAAAAATACTGAAAAATCTATAACAGTTTCAACAAAAAATATGAAGCAGCACAACTGTTTTCAACATTGATAATAATAAGAAATGTTTCTTGACCACCAAAATCAGCATATTAGAATGCTTTCTGAAGGATCATGTGACACTGAAGACTGGAGTAATGATGCTGAAAATTCAGCTTTGCCATCACAGGAATAAATTACATTTTATAATATATTAAATATTAAAATAGAAAAAAGTTATTTTAAATTGTAAAAATACTTCACAATATTACTGTTTTTACTGTATTTTTAATCCAATAAATGCAGCTTTGGTGAGCATAAGAGATTTCTTTCAAAAACATTAAATACATATTATCGACCACAAAGTTAAGAATGCCTGTGTATTTATTTATAACATTATTTTCCCAAATGTAATTCCTGTGCCATTTATCCACTGTAGCTATGATGCTGAAGCTGATAGTTGTGGTTTGGAACAGAGTTAGCTGACTGGTCTAAGCTGATAATTACTGGTTGAACAGCTACCCTGTACATAAAACCAGCTTAACCACCTAAATGCCCAAATTATCCCACCTAATAAAGAGCTGGAAGCAAGTTCCAATATCAAGGTTTAGACTGAAAATGACAATACAAATCATATTTTATCAGGAGGAGAGATGTTTTGAATATTTCATGATGATATGACACATTAAGTAAAGCTTTTGTGCTCTGGAAGGGATATAAAGCGCACTCATCGTTGCAGGTTAGACGGAAACAATAAGCGTTGTGTCCTTTCACATCCACTTTCTTCTGCTCTTATTTATCCCTTTGATTCCAGAATTTTATTTCATTTTAACTAAAAAATATCTTTGCTGTTCACAGTCGATGGCTGAGATTTCGGCTTATTAACCACCTGGCAAAGTGCCACAATCAAAAGGCCTCAGCACCCCACCTCAACCCTGCTGACAAAAACAACACCCGCACAAATAACAACGACTAGTCGACTAGACAGAGAGATAACATTTAAAAGAACTTCAAAATGGAGTGTGGTCAATTACTGGACCTGATGGAGAGCAGGGGAGACCAAAAAAACAGATAGGAGATGTGGTTGAGGTCAGAGATGATATGAATAAGTGCAAATAAATAAGATGCGAGAAAGATGTGATTTGGGTTAGTGAAAAATTGAATGATAAAAAAAAAAAAAAAAGATTATATTAGGACATCAACCTTTTACAGAAAAAGTAAATATATTAGTAGTGAAAGCAGAGGGTAATTTTATGTCAGCTGAGGTGAAGTTTGCACAGGAAGTGCTTGTAATGGTAAAGGGTTGGTGCCCCTGAGCAAACACAGGAAAAACAGCAGCAGAAACATCTGTGCAATCTTGAGTTCATTCATTATTCATCTCTTCTGGCTTATTGCTACTTTCAAAAAAAGCACACATCTAAAAGCTGAGACAGAAGTAATAACAAATAAAAATGGACAAATAACAACAGTGTCATCAAATATTTATTTGACACAGCCAATTTCCATCATCCTAAGGTTAAAAATCTTTCCTGACAATGACAAAAATTGTCCTGACAACAAATAGTTCTCTTTCATAGGTTCACTCAACGCTGCGTAGCTTTAAGACGCAGTGGGAACGCCCTCTGGGTGTGCCGATTGTCTGAAGCCCTTGATGGCACGGGCGCCGCCCTGACGCTCTTACGTCGTAACATTATATACCATCTGCTCCTCAGATTTTTCTTCCTTCACGAAGCAGCCATTTCAAGAAGCAGCCGCTTTCGGTTTTTCTGAGCCCGAAAAATTCGGATTACAACTGCATCGTCGTCTTCTGCACTTCAGCGACTGGAATAAGTGGAACTCTGTTCTCCTTACGGTGAAGTGCAATGGAATATCGTCGTTGCTCTCCACCATGCATTCGCTTCATTGCGAGCGACGACCCTCACAGTAAGTGCGTTAAGTGTTTGGTTTTTTCGCATGCGCGTGAGGCTGTTTTAGGATCGTCTAAATGCAAATTCTGTGACAATCTGCTTCCCACAACCCTCCACTCTAGGCTCGCAGTTCTTGAAAAGCAGTCATTCGTTCCCCACCGTCGCGCTCCCGAGACCGCCGAGGCCTCTCGAGGATCCGCGACCTGGGGTCCGGATGTAGAGCTCGAGGATTTGGAGTATGAGCAGACGGGCCTCGCCCTTTCTCTCCCTCCCTCTCTCGAGCACGCACGGAACATACCAGTCGAGTTCGCGCATGATTATTTATGCCACAGGCCAGGAGCACGCGAGACGGTTTCTTTCGGGCTGGAAGACATAATTTATACTGCAGCTTCCAACTCCGAGGATTTCGGGCCTGCTTTAACCGGCGACGTTATCCCGCCTAGCGGCCAGGAAACGCGGCCTACTGTGGCTTACACGGAACTTATAGACATGCTTTCGCGCGCTACGGAAAGGCTCGCTATCGACTGGCCTGACGAGCCCCACGAGTCACAGTCGTCTAAACTCGACGAGAGATTTCTTAGTGGCCCTAATTCTAGGCCAGAGCGAAGAAAGCTGCCCTTTTTTATTCCACCATTCCAGCGGTCGAGGACACGTTAGCTAATCACCTCGCTCCGTCGTCTGCGCCGTCTTGGAAGTCACGTCGTCTCCTTCCTTCTAAAGCGTGTAGGACTTCTTCCTCCCTTATTGGGAAATCCTACATGGCAGCTGGTCAGGCAGGCATGGCCCTACACACTATGGCCATCCTTCAGGCCTACCAGGCGGACGTCCTGAAAGAAATGGACGAGGGAAATGGGTGACTC